GTCATGAGCAACATGGCCATGACCGGTGGACGTCGCCGCGTGCGCTCACCATCATCTGAGCCAGCACCGCACCTCATTGGCACGTTCTCCAACAATAACCCGTTCAGTCCGCGCCACGATTTCACCGACGACGACGACCAGGACTGGAATCTTCCAGTCCTGCTGCTTGAAAGTCCCCCGCACATACCTGACATGCGAGCGGCGCCACTCGATTGGCTCTCACGCGAGCAGTTTCTTAAATTTGACACACCTCACATCGTCACGCCGCGACTGGCGCTGCTCGCACGTGACGACAGGAAGCGCTACAACACCTGGTACCTGGACAGCTGCTGCGGCCAGCACATGGTGGGCTCGGAGCGTTACATATCCAACGATGTTGCCACGCCCACGGTCACCTACGTCACAGTGGCCAACAACACGCGCATGCGCGCAAGCGCGCAAGGCATCGTCGTGCTCAAGGCACGAGGAAGCCGCACGCACATCACCCTTAACGATGTGCTCATCGTCCAGAACCTGCGCTTCAACCTGCTTTCCGTCGCCCAACTCATGGACTGCGGCGTTGATCTCAGCACGGACCGCGAGACACGTGACATCCTGCTGCACTACGAATCGAGAACCTTCCCCCGCAGGCAGATCGGAAGAGCACACTCCGAAAACGGGGTATACGTCTTGGATTTCGACATTCCCGACTGCAGCGGCGATTCGCACGAGTTAATCGACCACGTCCCATTGCGCTTCGAACATATCCACCCCAAGGATTGGAAGCACCCTGACGGAAGACCGTGGGTGCCGCATCACCCTCACCCGCGTGAAGTAGCGCTGCATGACCCTGACCCAGACGGCATCTGCAGAGACTGCCACACACAAACTGCGTCAACAAGTGCAATTGCCGGTCATGGACTTGCCGCCATCGCAGAAGCTGAGCGACGTGTACCCCCAGAAGAAGGAATGTCACAGTTGGAGCTCGAAATTACCACGCGCGGCGTGTTCGGCATACCAGAACACCCTCTCATCGGACCCCCCTCGCAGCACCTCCAAGGCATGCTACGCGGCACTGGCGTCGGCACCTTCGACGCGCGCGGAGTTGTGCACCCCTACACACGGGAGGAATTCCAGAAAGCTTACTCCCACTGGCGCGACCCCTCAGCAAAGCTCACCGTGACGGAAGAAGAAACCTTGGCGCGCCGCGAAGCTGAGGAACTTCGCCGACAGAGCCTCGCCGAAGCAGGCAGGACATTCGCCTGCGACGCATGGGGAGCCGAAGACGAGGAGAGCGCCTCCAATGAAGGGGGGTGGGGAAGCGCTGGCGGATGGGGAACGAGTGACACCGGTGGATGGGGCAACAGCAGCGGAACCCGGGCCAACGCAAGCGGCGTTTGGGCTACTGCAACTGGTGACGAAGGCAGCGGCTGGGGGAATTCCCGCAAAGAACAAAAGGGGGGAGAAGGAGAAGTAAAGGAAGCAGAGGCTACACCCGCGGTTGTTCCCCTTGGTCGCCCCCCGCGCCATGCCCCACTCACGCTACCTCCTCCTGACAACCCGCCGCATCGTGACCCTTGGGACACCATCAATTGGGGCAACGAGCCGTCGACCCCGCGTCGCACCGTCTACGGACCTGCCCCCGAACCGCGTGAACCTACCTTCGTCCCAGGAACTATCCCTGGGACCAACATCTCCCTCTCCGAAATCCGTGACAGAGAGTTCTTGGCGCTGATGCTAACCACCGCCTACGAAGAAGCCGAAGCAGCAGAAGAAGCAGTAGCAGCACCTACCCCAGTACCTGACGAAGACCCTGACGAAGTTCTCGTGCGCTACATGCGCACCTCCGGTTTTCGCGCCGACGACGCGCTCTGGCACCAGCGTCTCGGCCACCCTTCCCGCGCGACATTGAAAAATTGCATCGAAGCAGGCGTTTTTGCTCCTGGGGCACTCCTACGCCCAGATGGCACCAAAGTGAGGGGTGCGACACACCCGCGCAACTGCACCGTCTGCCCCGAAGCCGACCTGCTTTACACAGGATCGAGTAACGAACTACTAGAGCAGTTTGAGAAGAGTCTGGCGGGGCGCGTCGATATCACCTGCAACTACAAGGTGAAGCAGTTCCTAGGCCTCAACATCTCCTACGCGCCAGAAGTTATCCACCTCTCAGCGGCTAAGTATGCAGAGGAGCTAGGGAAGCGCTTCAACATTTCGTCTGCACCGCTCTCCACTCCCTACCGCACTCCCGGTCCAAATCACAAACCCGACAACAAAGCCATATCCCCCGCTGGAATTTAGACTTATCAGCAGCAGCTGGGATGTCTACTCTTCGCCTCTGTCACATGCAGGCCCGACCTCTCCTACATCGCGAGCCAGTTGGCCCAGTATTCTCGCAAACCAACGGCTGAGAATCTTCTGGACCTGCAACGCGCCTTGCAGTTCTTCATTTCAACGCCCAAGATCGGGCTGTGCTACTCAACAATACCCACCCCATCATTCGACCTCATCGGCTACGTGTACGCCGATCACGCAGCAGATCCTGACAATCGACGGTCCAGGACCGGCTTCCTGTTCTAGCTCGAACTGACGGGACCAATCTCGTGGAACTCGCAGAAACAGGAGCTGGTTGCCCTGTCGTCAGCCAAAGCGGAATTCATCGTAGCAACAGCAGCAGTTCGCGAAGGCCTCTACTTGCAGGAACTTCTGCAGGAGGCGAAAATTCTAGCTTCGCCCACCTTTCGCCTTCACTGCGACAACCAGAGCGCAATTCGCATCGCGAACAAACCTGGTTTCGTCAACCGCACCAAGCACATTGCGCTGCGGTACTTCTTCGTCAAAGACGAAGTGGACAAAGGCAAGGTTGACTTGACCTATTGCCCAACGGGTGACATGGCAGCGGACTTCCTCACGAAGCGACTGCCACGTCAGCAGTACAAGCACTGCTCCGAACTCAGCGGAGTAGTCAAGCAGGTCAAGTCGACCTACAGCCAGGAGTGAAGGGGGGTGTTACGAATAGCAATGGATGAAAACATTACTGTGCACTCCTAACCGCAGCTAAGGAAGCATGCAGTATCGAGAATGAATGTGAAGGGTCAGAGTTGACTCGAAGTGTCAGACGGTTAGGGTGGATCGGGACCGTCGGAGGAGACGGCATCGGGCAGCTGAAGGCAAGAGGAGTTGGGCGGGAACAGTTTCGTAACTGTACGCGCCGCATGGTTGGGAATGAATTTGAATAAGGGAATGTACCCCTTAGAGTACATGGCTAGCTAAGTCGATTCAGATTCCCTTGTACTCATATTTATATCTTTGTACTTGCATGTTCTTATCATCTCAAACATTTTACATTCACTCTGCTATTGAGGTCAAGGGCCCACCAGCACTATCTAGCTGTATGCGAACCTTCCTGAGGAGATCCTAGGAGCGATAACCTTCTGATCGCAACATGGTATGAGAGCGACTCAGGCATCCTTCGCACTGCCAAAACACAATCTTTTCCCTTTTGTGCTGTCACAACAGCTGCTAGAGATGAATATACTTAATTCAACCACTGGCCACGATTCAAATGAGTCCCGGTAAAGATGGCTAATAAAAGTATAGATAGAATATTAAATTCCACAAAATATGGCAGAAATACTCATGGGATGCATTGTGAAACTTCCCTATTACTATCCATTCACCTTTCTTCTCACAGAACAGTCAGGCCCCTCATAGGAATCCTTTATCATATGAATTATTCCATTTTGGGAGGTGTTTCATTGTGGTGTAGAAAATGACATGACAAACCTGGGCTGAAGGCGCTCTCTCATCTGGATCAGGTGCACTGACTCCATCATTACCACCGAGCATAGACATTCCCAACCAACCAGCATTTCAGCCAAACCTCTCCGCTCCGCGTCACTGCCGCCAGAAGCGAGGAATATAAAAATTTAAATCGAACCAGGGCTTGGATTTAGAGGTTCCCCCCGCGAGTCATGAGCAGAAAACAGATTCCCGCCTAGAGTAGGGGGTCCCAGGGTTACCTGCGACGGTGAGTTCCTTTAGCCTGGCCAACACGTGGAACAGGGGGCACTATGGCAGGGCTCGGGCTCGCGCCACAGGAATCTGGTGGAATTGGTTTACGCGTCTGCCAGACTTCCAGTCAAACCACACCCCCCCCCCACACCCCCCCCCCTTCCCGACACAAAAGCGGGAAAAGCTACCAGTGCACAACCGCTCCCCCCACAGCCAGAAGTTTTCAATCAAAACTTGAAAATAGTTTTGCCTATTGTTGCATAAAAAATCCCACCAGTGTTTACGAGATTCGGAACTACTTTAGGCATGAAGTAAGGGGAAACCCAGACGACACCGGAATATCTGAGATCCGTGGTTTTTTCGCATGCAGCAACACGAAACCAGGGGAAGAACACAGGTCAGGGAAGGGCCTTGTTCAAGGGCGGGCAGGCAGTATTTGTTCAGGCGGGAAAGGTCCATTCGTGTCCGTCCGTCTCCACGAGATGACGGGACGGGAATCATCCGGACGGAAACTATGTCTTCCAGGTGGTATTAACCCTCCTGTCAGTGAGACCCCCCGAAACCCGCGGAAGCAAGGTCGTCCTCCTGTGTTGTCGGAGCAGCATCGGTGGGTGCTGCTTGTCTCTGCTTGTCTCTCATCAGCATCGAGCACCCAGGCTGCAGTGAGGACAGTAAGCTTTGTTTCTAACCAGATGTCGCTCTAGGTTAGCTAAGGCTTCTGGTTATAGATTCTAGGGCGGGAGGAGAATGTCGACGTTCATCGCGTTATTTTTGGCATAGCTGAAATAGAAAACCTTTAATTCACTGAAACAGTGAAGGCATCTAAATATCAGAGAGACAGTCTGTTCGCGCGGAGTCTTCTGGGAAGCAAAGCTTAGGAACCAGTTTCGTAGTAGTAGTACTAACTTCCGCCGTCGTAGGCGGTCTCGGATCCACCGACGGAGTGCTGACCCTTGATTCGCTTTGAAAGATAGAGAGGGAAGCAAGCGGAACGACGAGCGCGGCGAGCGATGTCGTCCGGAGCCATCGCGACGGACGCATCGGCGAATGGCGCGGCGCAGTCGCCGCCGCCGCAGAGCAACGGCAACACGGCGATGACGTACGCGTCGGTGATCTCGCTGCACCAGCTCAACATCGCCGTGATCGCCGTTCTCGTCCTCCTCGTGCTGCTCGTGCTCGTCCTCTCCATCGCCAAGGCGCGCTCCACGTGGCTCCACCGCCGCGCCGTCTTGCGTCAGCAGGCGGAAAGCGCGCAGAACCTTCGGCCGGTCGGGCAGCGCGGTCTGCTGGTCGACGACCGGCCGGGGAACGGTATTCCCGAGGAGCTAATAAAGCTGCTAGGGCAAGTGGTGGCGTTCGAGGCGGCGAAGGTTGGCGGGGAGTGCGAGAGCGAGCGCGAGTGCATCGTGTGCCTGGGGGAGTATAACGAGGGCGACATGGTGCGCGTGCTCGACGCGTGCCACCACATGTTCCACCAGGTGAGACGCGTGTCAGCACGTGTGGCATTAGGTGAGGCGCTTGTTCCATCAGGGGAGATGCGTGTGACTGCATGGACGAAAGCGTACCAAGAGCACGGATGAGGCCGTATCACACCCGTAGAGTGTGAACGAGCGAGTTGGAGCAATACCCTAGGGCGGACGGTGTGAGTGAGTGATGGATCTACAACAGTAAGGGGCTGTGGGGCGCAGGGTGTGGGCAGTAAGGGGCCGTAGGGCGCAGCATGTTGGCGGTATGGGACCGTAGGGCGCACAGTAAGGGCGTCGATAGGACCTGGCGTGTGGCCATCGCGCTCCCGCGTGTTGGACGCCGCTAGTTCTGCTGCTACTTCGCATGCCACTCCCTCCAAGCTGCCCATCGTCTTCTAGATCGCCGCCTCATTCCCCCTCCCCCCTCCTCTCCCCCGTTTCCCCCCTTTCCTTCCCCGTCCTTCCTCCTCGTCCCCCCTCTTCTCCCTCTTCCTCTGTGCCCCGTGCCCGCCATGCTCCCCCTCGCCTAACCGCCCGCGCCCGCTGGTGTGCACAGGATTGCATAGACGCGTGGCTCAAGGCCCACAACTCGTGCCCCATCTGCCGCACCGTGCTGCTCCCCGCACGCCCCCCTCACACTGCTGCCGGGGCAGAGGCTGGGCAGCATTTGCACGGCCACCACCACCACAGCCACCACCACCACATGCACCACCACCACCCGCACCACCCCCACCACCACCACCACCACGACCCCGAAGCTGCAATTGGTCACGCACACCCATCGCCGCACCAATCGTACCCATCTTTAGACGAATCGCACCCATCCCCAAACCGATCACGACCATCATCGGACCAGTTAGGTCCATCCCCGGATGAAGCGGGTATATCGTTGGTCCATTTGCACACGGACCAATCACATGCCGCTCATGGCCACGTGCATGAGATGCAGGAGCAGAGCGGTTACCAAGGCAGCATCACTGCTGTGAATGCCGAGGGCGGAGATGTTCCTGAAGGCAGCGATACGGATCCTTCCGTGGCTGTGCCTATACTTGAAGCAGTGACTGGGGCTGAGGTTGCTGCGTCAAAAGTCTTGCTGGTAAAAGAGAGGGCGGAGTGCAGAGAAAGCAGGCATGTGGGTGTGGAGATAGCTGAGGCAACACAAGGCAGCTGTTGTGCTGCTGGAGGAAATGGGAGCACATGTCATGAGCACTCGGGGGAGCATGGAGGGAATTGTGTAGAATCCACGCATTTGCACGTAGCAAAGCAAGTTTGAAGGGCGGTGTGCCCTTCTAGCCAATCTGTAGGCATGCTGCTAGCTATCAATGCTGGCACATTACGAGCATTAGTGTGTACAGTTTTGTTTATATCCCGAGCCATTTTTTTATTGCTCTATCCATTCAAACACGCGATCATAAAACGAACCATTCAGGCCGTGCTCGTTTACTGGCGGGGTGCAAATTCCCCCAACCAGTTTTGTTCTGTCCGCTCGTACGAACATGTCAGGATGTGTCAGCAACCAATCGCTGATTGGTTGAAGCCTGTTGCACATTGCCCCTGTCGGAGCTGACCTGCAGTCTGCTCGAGGCGCAAGCGTTGCGTTTTTTTCGAGCCGCGTGAATACATGCATAGAAAATCTCACCTAGCTCCAGCAATTTGCTGGTGTTACCAATGGACTTTCCCTTGTAGGTCTCACGTTTCACTCACCTCGTTAGATGATAAATAACTATCGCACATTCCAGCTTACTGGTTCGAGCAGGTGAGTATAGTCCAGGTCCCACTGCTCCTCCGCTTTCTGCCTCTGATCATACCGGCAACGCACGGTGACGTTAGAGAAGAGATCAGATGCTGGTATAGATCCCGGTCACTGATCTTGCTTCGGGGCTGTCTCAAACCTAGACCCTGGCTAAGGTTCCCCAACAAAGATGAGTCGCTCGTCCATCACGATTCTCGCCTCTCGGGCCCTCCTAGTCGCGCTTCTCGTGTTTTACCTCCCCCATGCCCCTCTCGCCTTCGCATCTCTGGTGGCCTCTGGATCGCTTTACTCTCCGAGCTCACCATCCGTACGCAACCATGACACGAATCCATTCATTGCGTTTCGGGACTTCTTCGCGGAAAGAACCGGATTTTCTCAATCAAATCACGCGCTGGACCCTCCTGAAGCGGTTACCGGACCTCCGTCTAACGAGTCCGTGAGGCCGTTCAGTCGTTATTTGCAGTCCTCCTCCTCCTCTCTCTCCGATTGCCCCTTCACCACGACCAATCCCCTCCACACCTGCGCCATGGGCTACGCCGCATCTGCCGGCGTGACCGGCGGTCACGGGAAGCCTGCCTACGTAGTAACCAACGCCGACGACTCACTCCCAGTCGGCACCAACGGCTCGCTGCGATGGGGATTAACGCGCGCCTATGCGGCTGCGGGAACCAACGGCATCTACATCACTTTCGCGAAGAAAATCGACGTTTTGCTCCTTGGGCCGCTAGCAGTGCCGTCCGGCACGACAATCGACGGGCGGGGAGTTGCCGTCCGGCTGTTCGGGTCGTCCGTCGTGGTTCGCAACGCACGGAATGTCATTGTGCACAATATCGAAGGTACGACTCGAGTGAAAAGTGATTCAGTTACCGCAACACGTTTGAATCGTGTGCAGTTTTCCAACTTTTTCTTTTGAAATTTTTAACGTAAACAGCCTCGCCGGTCGCACCTAAACCGTCCTTCCTTTACGCCCCTTCGACTCCCATCATGCGATACCCCTCCATTTTCCAGTGCAAAGCGTGCAGTTCCCCAACGTGAATAGCGGCGTCAGCATCATCGACAGCACGGTAGTGTGGCTGGATCATGTGCGGGTGCGCGACGCTGTACCGGGGGCAGTGGAGGTCGTTGGTAGCAGCGCGGGGAGCGCCGGGAGTGTGACAATATCGAGCTGCCACCTGAGGAACGTGTATCTGCCCGGTGTGATGATAAGGGGGCCGGGAGCGGGATCGCTCGGCAGTATCGTCAGCACCCGCAGCTCCAACAGCAGTGGCGGCAGCGGGGGAGGCAGGAGCGGGGGAAGCGGCGGAAGCGGGGGTAGCGGCAGTGGAGGCGCAAGAAGCAGCAATAATAGCAGCAGCGGCGCTGCAGGCGGCGGCGATGGCGGGAGCAGTAGAAGAAGAAAGACGCAGGCGACCAGCGGCAGCAGCAAGAGCAGCGGGAATGGCACCAAGACGACGGGCACTAAAAGCACCAACAGCAGCGCCAACAGTTCAGGCACCACCAAGTCTACAAGCCCCCCTAAAAGCGCGACTTCACCCCCTAGAAGCCCATCCTCTCCCCCTAAAAACCCAAGCTCTCCCCCAAAAAGCCCTAGCTCCCCGCCGAAAAGCCCTAGCTCTCCCCCAAAAAGCCCTAGCTCTCCGCCGAAAAGCCGAGACTCTTCGAAAGCGCCGAGCGCGCCGAAGGCTACGAGCCCACCTGGCGGCGCGAGCAGCAGCACCAAGAGCGCCAGCGGCGGCGCCTCTCCTCCGCTGACCGTGACTCTCTTCCGGAACTGGTTTGACTCGAGCGACAACGCCAACCCCCAATGCGCTGCCGCCACGTGTCACCTAGCGAATAACCTGCTGTCGAATTGGCGAACGTGGTGCGTCCAGGCGAAGTTTGCGGCAAACGTTCGGTCAGAAGGAAACATTTTTCTTGCCGCCGGGCAGAAAGACGCGGCGCGATCAGACGGCTCGTCTGTGGTTTCTCTAGGAGACAGGCTTGGGAACGGCGCGGTCTTTAACTCGCAAGGGTCGAGCGTGGTATTCACTCCGCCATATTCGATCACGCTCGCGGCGCCTGACACGGCGCTAGAGAGCTTCATTCAGCAGTCCGCGGGCCCGCGCGTCATGGCGCGCCCGCCCATGCAGCCCCCCCCGCCCCCTGCTTCTCCGCCGCCTCTCCCCAAATCCCCACCTCCAGTGCAATCTCCGCCTCCCCCGCCGGCACCGCTCACTAATATCAACATGAATCCTCCTCGTTCTCCGCGCACCCCCCCTCGGTACCCCCCTTTTTCTTCTCCGCCACCACCGACAAACTCTCCCCCAGCCCCCCCCGCTCCCCCGTCCGCGGATCTCCCAGACGCGCAGTGCGCGTTCAATACGGATTTGCCGCTGCACAATTGCTCTCTAGGGTTTGCGCGGGGTGTGCTTGGCGGATACGGGCGCAGCGAATATGTGGTAACCATCTCCAACGATAGCATCATCGCGCCTGTGGAGGGTTCGCTAAGATGGGGTTTGCAGCAGTACAGGGACGGAGTGTACATTCGATTTGAATCCTCTATGACAATTAATCTCAAAGGAAGACTATTTCTATCATCTTACACTACGATTGATGGACGAGGAGGGCAGATTCGAATTCTGGGAGACACGATCGTGGTGCAATCTGCACAGCATGTGATTATACACAATATTGAAGGTGAGGGCAAAGTGTGGCATTCACTTGTTTCACTTTCACACACCTACTCCCTCTTGGTCCTTGCCCTCGCTCCCTCCTCATCCCCTCTCAATCAACGTGCCTCATTTTCAATTCCCTGGACATTTTAATTGCCAATTTTTGTCTCCATTGAAGCAGCGTGTGAAGTGGATGGACTACATCCTCCTCCTCTCCCCTCCCCTGCTCTCCCTCTCCCCTCCCCTGCTCTCCCTCTCCCCTCCCCTGCTCTCCCTCTCCCCTCCCCTGCTCTCCCTCTCCCCTCCCCTGCTCTCCCTCTCCCCTCCCCTGCTCTCCCTCTCCCCTCCCCTGCTCTCCCTCTCCCCTCCCCTGCTCTCCCTCTCCCCTCCCCTGCTCTCCCTCTCCCCTCCCCTGCTCTCCCTCTCCCCTCCCCTGCTCTCCCTCTCCCCTCCCCTGCTCTCCCTCTCCCCTCCCCTGCTCTCCCCTCTCCCCTCCCCTGCTCTCCCTCTCCCCTCCCCTGCTCTCCCTCTCCCCTCCCCTGCTCTCCCTCTCCCCTCCCCTGCTCTCCCTCTCCCCTCCCCTGCTCTCCCTCTCCCTCCCCTGCTCTCCCTCTCCCCTCCCCTGCTCTCCCTCTCCCCTCCCCTGCTCTCCCTCTCCCCTCCCCTGCTCTCCTCTCCCCTCCCCTGCTCTCCCTCTCCCCTCCCCTGCTCTCCCTCTCCCCTCCCCTGCTCTCCCTCTCCCCTCCCCTGCTCTCCCTCTCCCCTCCCCTGCTCTCCCTCTCCCCTCCCCTGCTCTCCCTCTCCCCTCCCCTGCTCTCCCTCTCCCCTCCCCTGCTCTCCCTCTCCCCTCCCCTGCTCTCCCTCTCCCCTCCCCTGCTCTCCCTCTCCCCTCCCCTGCTCTCCCTCTCCTCTCCCCTGCTCTCCCTCTCCTCTCCCCTGCTCTCCCTCTCCTCTCCCCTGCTCTCCCTCTCCTCTCCCCTGCTCTCCCTCTCCTCTCCCCTGCTCTCCCTCTCCTCTCCCCTGCTCTCCCTCTCCTCTCCCCTGCTCTCCCTCTCCTCTCCCCTGCTCTCCCTCTCCTCTCCCCTGCTCTCCCTCTCCTCTCCCCTGCTCTCCCTCTCCTCTCCCCTGCTCTCCCTCTCCTCTCCCCTGCTCTCCCTCTCCTCTCCCCTGCTCTCCCTCTCCTCTCCCCTGCTCTCCCTCTCCTCTCCCCTGCTCTCCCTCTCCTCTCCCCTGCTCTCCCTCTCCTCTCCCCTGCTCTCCCTCTCCTCTCCCCTGCTCTCCCTCTCCTCTCCCCTGCTCTCCCTCTCCTCTCCCCTGCTCTCCCTCTCCTCTCCCCTGCTCTCCCTCTCCTCTCCCCTGCTCTCCCTCTCCTCTCCCTGCTCTCCCTCTCCTCTCCCCTGCTCTCCCTCTCCTCTCCCCTGCTCTCCCTCTCCTCTCCCCTGCTCTCCCTCTCCTCTCCCCTGCTCTCCCTCTCCTCTCCCCTGCTCTCCCTCTCCTCTCCCCTGCTCTCCCTCTCCTCTCCCCTGCTCTCCCTCTCCTCTCCCCTGCTCTCCCTCTCCTCTCCCCTGCTCTCCCTCTCCTCTCCCCTGCTCTCCCTCTCCTCTCCCCTGCTCTCCCTCTCCTCTCCCCTGCTCTCCCTCTCCTCTCCCCTGCTCTCCCTCTCCTCTCCCCTGCTCTCCCTCTCCTCTCCCCTGCTCTCCCTCTCCTCTCCCCTGCTCTCCCTCTCCTCTCCCCTGCTCTCCCTCTCCTCTCCCCTGCTCTCCCTCTCCTCTCCCCTGCTCTCCCTCTCCTCTCCCCTGCTCTCCTCTCCTCTCCCCTGCTCTCCCTCTCCTCTCCCCTGCTCTCCCTCTCCTCTCCCCTGCTCTCCCTCTCCTCTCCCTGCTCTCCCTCTCCTCTCCCCTGCTCTCCCTCTCCTCTCCCTGCTCTCCCTCTCTCTCCCTGCTCTCCTCTCCTCCCTGCTCTCCTCTCCTCTCCCCTGCTCTCCCTCTCCTCTCCCCTGCTCTCCCTCTCCTCTCCCCTGCTCTCCCTCTCCTCTCCCCTGCTCTCCCTCTCCTCTCCCCTGCTCTCCCTCTCCTCTCCCCTGCTCTCCCTCTCCTCTCCCCTGCTCTCCCTCTCCTCTCCCCTGCTCTCCCTCTCCTCTCCCCTGCTCTCCCTCTCCTCTCCCCTGCTCTCCCTCTCCTCTCCCCTGCTCTCCCTCTCCTCTCCCCTGCTCTCCCTCTCCTCTCCCCTGCTCTCCCTCTCCTCTCCCCTGCTCTCCCTCTCCTCTCCCCTGCTCTCCCTCTCCTCTCCCCTGCTCTCCCTCTCCTCTCCCCTGCTCTCCCTCTCCTCTCCCCTGCTCTCCCTCTCCTCTCCCCTGCTCTCCCTCTCCTCTCCCTGCTCTCCCTCTCCTCTCCCCTGCTCTCCCTCTCCTCTCCCCTGCTCTCCCTCTCCTCTCCCCTGCTCTCCCTCTCCTCTCCCCTGCTCTCCCTCTCCTCTCCCCTGCTCTCCCTCTCCTCTCCCCTGCTCTCCCTCTCCTCTCCCCTGCTCTCCCTCTCCTCTCCCCTGCTCTCCCTCTCCTCTCCCCTGCTCTCCCTCTCCTCTCCCCTGCTCTCCCTCTCCTCTCCCCTGCTCTCCCTCTCCTCTCCCTGCTCTCCCTCTCCTCTCCCTGCTCTCCCTCTCCTCTCCCCTGCTCTCCCTCTCCTCTCCCCTGCTCTCCCTCTCCTCTCCCCTGCTCTCCCTCTCCTCTCCCCTGCTCTCCCTCTCCTCTCCCCTGCTCTCCCTCTCCTCTCCCCTGCTCTCCCTCTCCTCTCCCCTGCTCTCCCTCTCCTCTCCCCTGCTCTCCCTCTCCTCTCCCCTGCTCTCCCTCTCCTCTCCCCTGCTCTCCCTCTCCTCTCCCCTGCTCTCCCTCTCCTCTCCCCTGCTCTCCCTCTCCTCTCCCCTGCTCTCCCTCTCCTCTCCCCTGCTCTCCCTCTCCTCTCCCCTGCTCTCCCTCTCCTCTCCCCTGCTCTCCCTCTCCTCTCCCCTGCTCTCCCTCTCCTCTCCCCTGCTCTCCCTCTCCTCTCCCCTGCTCTCCCTCTCCTCTCCCCTGCTCTCCCTCTCCTCTCCCCTGCTCTCCCTCTCCTCTCCCCTGCTCTCCCTCTCCTCTCCCCTGCTCTCCCTCTCCTCTCCCCTGCTCTCCCTCTCCTCTCCCCTGCTCTCCCTCTCCTCTCCCCTGCTCTCCCTCTCCTCTCCCCTGCTCTCCCTCTCCTCTCCCCTGCTCTCCCTCTCCTCTCCCCTGCTCTCCCTCTCCTCTCCCCTGCTCTCCCTCTCCTCTCCCCTGCTCTCCCTCCTCTCCCCTCTCCCCTGCTCTCCTCTCCTCTCCCCTGCTCTCCCTCTCCTCTCCCCTGCTCTCCCTCTCCTCTCCCCTGCTCTCCTCTCCTCTCCCCTGCTCTCCCTCTCCTCTCCCCTGCTCTCCCTCTCCTCTCCCCTGCTCTCCCTCTCCTCTCCCCTGCTCTCCCTCTCCTCTCCCCTGCTCTCCCTCTCCTCTCCCCTGCTCTCCCTCTCCTCTCCCCTGCTCTCCCTCTCCTCTCCCCTGCTCTCCCTCTCCTCTCCCCTGCTCTCCCTCTCCTCTCCCCTGCTCTCCCTCTCCTCTCCCCTGCTCTCCCTCTCCTCTCCCCTGCTCTCCCTCTCCTCTCCCCTGCTCTCCCTCTCCTCTCCCTGCTCTCCTCTCCTCTCCCTGCTCTCCCTCTCCTCTCCCCTGCTCTCCCTCTCCTCTCCCCTGCTCTCCCTCTCCTCTCCCCTGCTCTCCCTCTCCTCTCCCCTGCTCTCCCTCTCCTCCTGCTCCCTCTCCTCTCCCTGCTCTCCCTCTCCTCTCCCCTGCTCTCCCTCTCCTCTCCCCTGCTCTCCCTCTCCTCTCCCCTGCTCTCCCTCTCCTCTCCCCTGCTCTCCCTCTCCCCTCCCCTGCTCTCCCTCTCCTCTCCCCTGCTCTCCCTCTCCTCTCCCCTGCTCTCCCTCTCCTCTCCCCTGCTCTCCCTCTCCTCTCCCCTGCTCTCCCTCTCCTCTCCCCTGCTCTCCCTCTCCCCTCCCCTGCTCTCCCTCTCCTCTCCCCTGCTCTCCCTCTCCTCTCCCCTGCTCTCCCTCTCCTCTCCCCTGCTCTCCCTCTCCTCTCCCCTGCTCTCCCTCTCCTCTCCCCTGCTCTCCCTCTCCTCTCCCCTGCTCTCCCTCTCCTCTCCCCTGCTCTCCCTCTCTCCTCTCCCCTGCTCTCCCTCTCCTCTCCCCTGCTCTCCCTCTCCTCTCCCCTGCTCTCCCTCTCCTCTCCCCTGCTCTCCCTCTCCTCTCCCCTGCTCTCCCTCTCCTCTCCCCTGCTCTCCCTCTCCTCTCCCCTGCTCTCCCTCTCCTCTCCCCTGCTCTCCCTCTCCTCTCCCCTGCTCTCCCTCTCCTCTCCCCTGCTCTCCCTCTCCTCTCCCCTGCTCTCCCTCTCCTCTCCCCTGCTCTCCCTCTCCTCTCCCCTGCTCTCCCTCTCCTCTCCCCTGCTCTCCCTCTCCTCTCCCCTGCTCTCCCTCTCCTCTCCCCTGCTCTCCTCTCCTCTCCCCTGCTCTCCCTCTCCTCTCCCCTGCTCTCCCTCTCCCTCTCCCCTCGCTCTCCCTCTCTCCTCTCCTCTCCCCTGCTCTCCCTCTCCTCTCCCCTGCTCTCCCTCTCCTCTCCCCTGCTCTCCCTCTCCTCTCCCCTGCTCTCCTCTCCTCTCCCCTGCTCCCCTCTCCTCTCCCTGCTCTCCTCTCCTCTCCCTGCTCTCCCTCTCCTCTCCCTGCTCTCCCTCTCCTCTCCCCTGCTCTCCCTCTCCCTCCCCTGCTCTCCCTCTCCTCTCCCCTGCTCTCCCTCTCCTCTTCCCTGCTCTCCCTCTCCCCTCCCCTGCTCTCCCTCTCCTCTCCCCTGCTCTCCCTCTCCTCTCGCCTGCTCTCCCTCTCCTCTCCCCTCCCCTTCCTCTCCTCTCCCCTGCTCTCCCTCTCCTCTCCCCTGCTCTCCCTCTCCTCTCCCCTGCTCTCCCTCTCCTCTCCCCTGCTCTCCCTCTCCTCTCCCCTGCTCTCCCTCTCCTCTCCCCTGCTCTCCCTCTCCTCTCCCCTGCTCTCCCTCTCCTCTCCCCTGCTCTCCCTCTCCTCTCCCCTGCTCTCCCTCTCCCCTCCCCTGCTCTCCCTCTCCTCTCCCCTGCTCTCCCTCTCCTCTCGCCTGCTCTCCCTCTCCTCTCCCCTCCCCTTCCTCTCCCCTCCCCAGCCATCCCCCACCCGGACAGCATTGCCATCAAAGCAAGCGCGGGTAATATCTTACATCCTCCCCTCCTCCCCATTCTCCCATCTCCTCTTTCTCTCCCCCCTCCTTTCCTCCCCACCTCTTCCCCTTCCCCTACCAGTGGGCGAGGTCGACCCTGCCCTTTATGGCACGGGGACGGCATGGCCATCAGGGCGAGCAGCACGGTGTGGGTGTACCACTGCCTCGTGCGCAACGCCCCTCTTGGAACCATCGACCTCCTCTCATCCTCCACCACCCCCACCCCTTTTCCTCTCTGATCTGCAGTGGGCGAAGTAGACGAAGCGCCGTATGGCACGCAGGACGGCATAGCCATCAGGGCCAGCAGCATGGTGTGGGTGGACCACTGCCTCGTGCACAACGCCCCCATGGGCACCATCGACCTCCTCGCCTCCTCTGACGCGGTTTCCGTCTCATACTGCCACCTCTCCAACTACCTCCTCCCACTCACCTCCGCCAACGCCACGTCAGCACCGCCCTCCGACGATCCAACGAGCTCCGGCACGGATACAGGCACGGGCGCAGGCACGGGTGGGGATGGGGGTACCGGAGAGCCTGATGCGGCTCGGGTTACGTACTTTGGGAATTTCTTTGAGGGGCCGTCGGCACCGATGCTGCACTGCCAGGCGTCGCTGTGCCACGTGGCAAACAATCTGTTTGCCAACTGGACCGACACGTGTATCGTGGCGCGCGGAGGCGCGTCGGTGCGCTCGCTCAATAACGTGTATGCCAGCACGGTTCCGGGCGCGGCGGGGATTGTAACGGCGAATGCGGACGGCGCAAGTTACTTCGTAACGAGCGGGGATCTGTTGCGGAACGGAGTGCGGTTTGTGGTGAGTTTGCCGCCCGGAGTGAGTGGGAGTGCGGGCATGCCGCCTCTGCCCTACTCCCTGCCGGTAGACAAAGCTGACTCAAGCCTTCCAGGCGCGATCAAGGGGAATTCGGGGCCCCAGTTATGATGTCTACCAAGTCCAAATAATCAACAGGCACATGCGATAGCATCGCATAGCAAGCTGGTTGCCATCCGCTCCCATAGCTGCCTTTGTAGTACAAAGTTTGTACCATAACCAGGTTGTTCTGTGTTCAAGTTGTTGAAATGAGTCTTGCAGAATGCAGCATGGTGGGTTGACACTTGACATGATACATGTAAACTGAGTGAACACAGGGGAGGTCCAATCTAACTTGTGTGCACTGCACATTTCAAGGGAGCAGTGGAACATTCTAGGGAGGCAGAAGCTGCGAAAGGCAGCAGTTAGGCGGGCCCCACAGCGAGTCGGCGCGGGCCCAGGTCCTGGCGAGGGCGCTGGGGACACGCATGCACAGGGTTGGAAGGAAGGGGAAGGGGGGAGGGGGTGAGACGTGGGTGCAGGGGAGAGAAGGTGTTTGGTGAAAGGTGTGGCTTGGGGGTGTGGGGAAGTGAGAGATTATGCAGCAGGTGCACATGGCATGGGAGGTATATCTTTGCTCAGAGTCAACATGGCATCCATGGCTGCACAGAGTCATGGCAGCAGGGCAGCATGTAAAGTGCGTCTATCCATCTATCTATCAGCTGGGCAGAACGCGGGGCAGCAGGCTGTGACTCACGGAGTTGAAGGCGAGGGTGCGGCGGTCGCCCACGAAGCTCAGAAACTCCAACACCTGGCTGTCGGGCACCTTGAGAGGGGTAGCTGTGAAACGGGTGAGAGAGGGGAGGTGAGGAGGTAGAAAAGGGAGGAGGTTGAGGTAAGAGCGTGCCTCAAAGGTCGCCCACGAAGCCCAGGAACTCCCACACCTGGCTGTCCGGCACCTTGGAATCTGACCCACCCTCTAAGGTCGCGTGCCTCAACGGTCTCCCACGAAGCTCAGAAAAGAAAACTCCAACACCTGGCCGCCTGGTACCTTGGAATCTGACCAAGGTTCAAAAATACGGTAAACGTAAATTACGGCTCGTAAATTACGATCGTAATTTACGGTGGTTTTGGCAAAAATACGGTCGTTTTTTAAATGGACATTTTTTGCGGAATTTTTTTTTCCAGAAATTCCTAGAAAGCTTACAACGATGACAAGGTGACAACATACTACACTACAGAATGGTGGTTTTTGCCCTGGTTTAACTTGGTGGTGTTGCGTTGGCGAATGGAATATGCAAAAGGGATGAGATGGAAGGGATGAAGATTGGACGAGCGCTATTGGTTGGAATGGTTTTGCAGTGTCGAATTTGAGTTGAGTAGCGCATGCGGGCGAAAAAAACGAACGGGCCGCGAAACGACCCACCGACTTGGCGAAACGGGTAGACTTGTGTTATCCGTTCGCCAAATGTACAATTTCCCACATCGCACAAATTTGTACATTTGCGATTCGGCGAAATACACAAACGAGTGTGCGAATGGGCAACAAACCTGTTAAACTGTCACCAAAATGCACAATGTCGCGCCTCGAGATTTTGCTGACACTCACGACTCGGGAAAAAAACACTCTCGAGTGGGTTTGGGGCCACAAAAATTCTCACGAACAGGTTGACGGTTGGGAAATGTTGAAATTCGCTATACACAAACTCGGTTTCAAACTTCGGTCGTAATTTACGACCGTATTTTTGAACCAGCCTAATTTTGCAACGTCAAACCGTTTTTTACCGTAATTTACGACCGTAAATTACGATACCGTAATTTACGGTAAATTTTCAAAAATACGGTCGTATTTTTGAACCTTGAATCTGACCCACCCCCCTCTACCACTCACTTACTGCCTCTCCGCCACGCACCCCCTCACCCTCCCTGCTGCCACTCACCGAGCACAAACCAGTCGACCACGTCCGAGCAGGCAGGGTCGGCCAGGGAGCCCTGGTAGTGGATGTACGCGTGTGAGGCGTCCTGGAAAGGGGTACAGAGGGAAGAAAAAGAGGGGTAGATGGGCAGAGGAGAGAGGTGGAGAGGGGTACAGACAGGTCTTAGGGGTGTGAGCAGACAGGGTCAGCCAGGGAGCCCTGGTAGTGGATGTAGGCGTGTGAGGCGTCCTGAAGATGGGTACAGTGAGGGGAACACAGGGGTGTAAGGGTACAGGAGAGAGGTGGAGAGGGGTACAGATAGGTCTTAGGGGTGTGAGCAGGCAGGGTCAGCCAGGGAGCCCTGGTGGTGGATGTAGGCGTGTGAGGCGTCCTAAAGAAGAGAGAACAGAGCAATAGAGGGGCAGGAGGGAGGTTGAGAGTGGTGGCGAAGGGTGAGGCATTTACATTCTTATGTATCCGCCTATATACGTGCATATGCACATTTGCACATGTCTAGGCATACCTGCCACAGAACATATGAAGAGGGGAAGAGAGGAAGATGGAGGTGTGGTGGTGCTTACGGGTCTGTCCTTGGGAGGCGGCAGCGGCTGGGGGCTGGTCTGCAAATACAGGCTACACAGGCACTGCAGCAGGGTGGCCGACCAACTGACTATATTGTAGTCACGTTTGAGAATTCCCAAAAGTGAGAGGAAGAGGGTGGTAATACTCACGGGTCTGTCAAGGGCTGGCAGCAGCGGCTGCGGGCTGGTCTGCACGCGGAGGCACTGCTGCAGCGCGGAGCGGGCACCCCCCCTGCCCACCACCGCCACCTCCAAACACTCCTGAGGGGAGGCACTGGGGGAAGAGCAGGGGCAATGGGGGGGGAAGCGGGGGAAGTGGGAGGAGGGGATGGGGAATGTGAGGAAAATCGGGGAGAGAGAGAGAGAGAGAGAGAGAGAGAGAGAGAGAGAGAGAGAGAGAGAGAGAGAGAGAGAGGCAGGGTTGAGAGGCAGGGGCCTGTCTCGGCCCCTTGCCTACCACCGCCGCCACCTCCAGACACTCCTAGGGCCCGCTCTGAGGGGGGTGAGAGTGGATGGGGATGCATCATGCATGAGAGGGCGTTGGGGGTTTGCGGGGGGAGAGAGCAGCAGGGACCTGCCTCTGCCCACCACTGCCACCTCCTCACACTCCGAGGAGGGTAGATAGGGGGAAGGAGTGAGGAGAATACGAGGAAAATGGGGAGAGGGAACAGCAGGGACCTGCCTGTGCCCAGCACCGCCAACTCCTACCACTCCTGGGGCGCAGCTGTGAAGGAGCGCCAAGAGGGGAACGGGGGGGGATGGGAGCAGGAAACGGTTGGGGGGGGGTGGGGGAGGGCATGGGAGAGCGAGCAAGAGGGGCCTGCCAAGGCCCATTGCAGGTACACTCGCTGACACCCCTGGGGGGGCGCACTGGTGTGGGGAGAAAGGTGCAGGAGGCTGCGGGAGAGGGTGTGGGGGGAATGTGGCGGAGGGAGGGGAGGGGAGGGGCGAATGGCAGAGCAGCCATGAAGCACGGGTTGGGAGGGAGGGGCATGCTGTGTGCCGCCATGTCTGCATTGCTGCTTCCACCTTTCATCACGTGTTCTCTGCCATGCTTCCCTATCCCATTTCACCCCTATCCCACTCTCCCATCACGTGTTCTATGCCATGCTCTTTCCTGGCCTCATCACAGCACTCCCATCCCGCCTGACGCTCACATCTGCTTGTTCTTCTCGCCTGGGGCGAACAGCAGAGCCGCATCCAGACCACACGCAGGGTGCACTTGTTTCTCTGCTGTGTTTGCCTCCCTCTCGCCCTTTCTCACCTCGCCTCATCGCACTGTTTCCATCGCGCCCACCACTCACATCTGCTTGTTCTTCTCCCCCGGCGCAAACGCCAGAGCCGGCTCCAGGCACTGGTTGTTCTTGTTGCTCTACTACTGTGCTGCTGCTGTGCTCGCCTCTCTCTCCCCCTCTCCTGGCCGCATCACAGAGCTCCCCCATCACGCCTGCAGCTCACCCGCACCCCCCCGCCACTCACATCTGCTTGTTCTTCTCCCCCGGCGCAAACGCCAGAGCCGCCTCCAGGCACAGGTTGCGTGGGGCCCGCGGGTCCGCCTCTATCATCACTCTGGCGAGAGGGGAGAGGGCGGAGGGGAAGGGGAGAGGGGGAGCGGGAAGTGGGGGGAGCCTTCAGGGGGCAGTGGGGGAACGCCCTCACTCTGGGGAGGGGGGGGAGGAGCAGGGCGTTGGGTGGGCGTTGGGGGAGCGGCGTGTTTGTGGGACGTTCGTGGGGGGATTGGCAGAGGATTGAGGTGCGTGTGTGTGTGTGTGCATCAGCGGGGTATTGGAGAGGCAGGCAAGAACGGATCATGTGAAGCCGTGCAACGCGGGTGCAGCATCACGATTCATGAACTAGCAGTGAGCCACGTGACTAAAAACGAGCGGCAGCAGCATCACCAGCACGCGGTGGCGACTCACCCAATGACTGCCAGCTTGCCGTCAGCATCGCCTGCACGGGAACGAGGTGGGGAGAAGGAAGGGGAGAGAAAGCCGTGAGAGGGACGGGGGGAAGGAGAGGCGCACATTGCCCATAAAAAATGTAGCAGGGAATCAACCACCGCTCTCCACCCCCCCTCTCCCAATCGCGCATGATCCATGATGGCCAACGAAACGCGCCCCCTGTTGAAACGCCACAGTACAACTCGATACAGTCCCTTCGTTACAGCGACGCGAGGTGCACGAGGTGCGCCCCCATGGGGCAGCGCACGCCGTTGAAGGAATAAAGAAGGTGCCACCCGCTACAATCGCTAGCTACATTCCCTCGCTACAATCCCCTCCTACAGTCACTCGTTACACGTACGGTGCACGAGGTGCGCCTCCATGGGGCAGCGCACGCCGTTGAACGAGTGCTCGCTGGGCGCGTGGAAGTGGTACTGTAGCAGCTGCAGCTGCCGCCCGCCCACCGCGCACGTGTTGCTGCCGCCCGGGAAGTTCACCTGCGGGCGGCAGAAGCGGATGAGAAGGGGGCGAGAGGAAAACGGGAGTGAAAATGGGAGAGGACGGGGGAGAGAGGGGGAATGAGGGGGAAAGTGAGGGGGGGTGAGGGGTTGAGAGGAGGAGAAAGGACGGGTGAGAGGGATAGAGAGCAGCGAGGAGAATGAGCGCATGGCACGACTTCCGAGACGTCTCAAAAATCTCAACGACTCGCCTGCATTGTGCCGTGCCCCGTGTTCAAGAACGACGCGTCGGCGTTCTTATACGCGAATGTGATATTGCCGAGGCTGTTGTCTCTCGTCAGCTTTGACACCGCGTTCAGCGGACCGCCGGTTGCGGACTGCGCCGCGTCGCCCGCCGAGCACAGCTCGCCCCACTCCATCGGCCCGGAAACGTCCTTGCTCGAATCGGCGGCCAATGCGGCTCCGATAGAGGATCCCCCGTTAGAGTCACAGATGGGACAGCCCACGACCGCAGCCATTCCCGCCGCCAGTCCTCCGAGGATCAGCCGCCGATTGACGACGCGCGGCCCAGTGTGGCCGTGGGAGGCGCTTTTGGGCTCTGCGGCCGCCTTCCCGTCTTTAGCGGCGCAGCGGACGGCAATGGCGGGAGCGTTATTGGCGGATGTGAGGGGAGCTGCGCAGGCGGCGAGGCTGACGGGCCGGCCGAGCATCTCGCATTTCTCCAGCGAAGATTGGACGCAAGCAGCAAGCGGCGCGCGAAGCGACGACGAGGTGGCAAGAGCAGCCATTGAGGCAACAAAGGGAACCGGGCTTCACGGAGAATAACTGATCGTCTAGATCTTAGCTGTCCTTTACTTGTCAGCACTCATCAATGCTTCTTTCACTTCAGGTTTGAAGTTGTGCCAGAAAGGGTCCGTCCAAGTGGCTTGAGTTGCACCAAGGGCAGTGCGTAACTTCCTTCCAAAAAACACTCAGCGTAACTATTGCTGGGGTACTTAGAAGTATGCGCTCACGTGATGGAAAGACAGGGGAATGAATTGGAAATTTCGGTTTTTCTTGCAGCATCGCTAAGCGTCGTCACGAGAACTCTGGGTGTCGACAAAATGAAAATTCTTCCAGTGCCAGCCATCTCAAGGTCATGAGCTTCGCGAAATTTACGGCTCTCAGATTGCTTCCAGCCAGTCGATCAATATCCGACATCCGTTTACGAAGCGCGCATTCGATGTGATGGCCATGTCATCAGGAACAAGCAGATCGATCTCCACGTGGTATACCCTGCCTACTGCAAGGCTTCGCTACTGCTTTTAAATTCACATGAAAAAGAGTTCGCCATGTTGTGTAGTGTATTGTACCATCAGAATTCCATCCGCGCAATCATGGAGACTTCGACCGGCATAAACTTGAAATTACTCTTCCACATCCCTGTGATTGACTCGTCTGTGCTGGCAACACCTCGCTTGAATCACCATTTCCCCCTCCACGCAGTGGTGGAGAATCCGCGGTACGCGGGACCGGGGGAACGTTCGCCAAGCATTTCGTGTGTCGAATGAAGGTGACCCACGTGTTCAGTCTTGAGTTGTGCTAAGTCGCGCCACCCCAAATTCAACCAGGCTCCTTGGAGTTGTCACTCGTGTGGTCTGGGGTGTGGGCTGGGCGGGATCTTTCATTTCGAGCAATGCTCCAACCAAAATAAGGGGGTAAGAAGCTAAACTAGCACGAGAGTAGCGAGCTCTTGCTGTTTCGAAGGCATGATTAGTAGGCTGATCTGACTGACCTTGTCGATCCCTTCGGATCTGCCGCGCCCAGTACCGAACTTTCGGCTCAACCATGGCGTCTAGCGCTTTCGAAACGTACTGGAAGGTAGGATTAAGTCAAGGTTATCTTGGGAGCAGACGCGTTTTCGTCGGCTTGGTATCTGACGTGAACGGCATCCTCTGCAGGTCCTGACTGACAACTTCACAGACTTCCAGCTGGCGACCATCGGAAGTTTTCTGATCCATGAGTGCGTCTTTTTCATGTCTGGCCTGCCTTACCTGATACTCGAGAATCTAAATGTCCGAAAATACAAACTCCAGGTGCGTCACCATCCCGTGATCCTTTGTGGTATGGCTCCGCTAGCAACTACGGGTAGGATCTGAGCGTCGTTTGTTTCCATTGCAGAAAAAGTCGAACCCGGCGTCGTCACAGATCAAATGCGTATTGAAGCTGCTGATGTACCATTGCCTGGTCAACCTACCACTGATTATGGCGTCCTACCCGGTTTTCAAGTACATGGGCTTCAGAAGCACGCTTCCCCTCCCTCACTGGTAATGCTTCCGCTCTCTTTGCAGTTTGCATGGGTAGATCGCCTCGTCTAGTTGGTAAGCTTTCTCACCTTTCACGACGGCGCTTGCAGGAGTACCATCGTTACCCAGATCGTGAGCTATTTCTTTATCGAGGATTTCGTGTTTTACTGGGGTCACCGTGCGCTGCACTCGAAATGGCTCTACCAGAACGTCCACTGCGTCCACCATGAGTGAGTGCCGCTGCCAGTCGCTCCCCGTTACTCTCCCTCCGCCTCCCTCCTGCTAAGTCTCCTTTTCCTCGCCCTTTTGAGACTTCAGATACGCGACGCCGTTCGGGTTGACATCGGAGTATGCGCATCCCGCAGAAATCCTCTTCCTAGGGTTCGCCACCATTCTCGGCCCCGCCCTCACGGGCCCGCATCTGCTCACCCTCTGGCTCTGGATGAGCCTGCGAGTCCTCGAAACCGTTGAAGCACACAGCGGATTCGAGTTCCCCTGGAGTCCGTCCCGCTTCATTCCCCTCTACGGCGGGTACGTTCATTTCACATCAGATTATGCAATTATACCTTCGCCTCTACGAAGTCCCCTGAGCGTGAGATGCGACTCGTGATGGCTGCAGGGCGGAGTACCACGACTATCATCACCGCTGCGTGTACACGGACTCGGGCAACTATTCGTCCACGTTCATCTACATGGACTGGTATGTGGGCTTGGATTGCTCGCACATACGGTATATGTCTCATGTTGCCCGCTGATATCGAGCTATGCGCTGCGCAGGATCTTTGGAACGGACAAGAACTACAGGAGAATGAAGGCTTTGAAGGCAGGCAGTGCCAAGGACGAGGCTCCTACTACCAATGGTACGAAGAAGGACTCTTAGGCTTGAAAATTTTACTCTTTAGACTGCAACCTTCCGTTGCAATCTCTGCAAGGCGTAGTGATATCCACGCCCTCGTTGGGGACATGTTAGATGGCTTTTTCATGCAATTACAGACTAATTTGAGTCACCCACGTCACTCCTTTTTTCCCATGCATATCAAGCAAGACACAATGTGGGGCAGTAAGTCCCTAGAGCCGTCTCAATCTGCTGCCATCTCCTTACTCCCGATTGTTCATACAATCTCAATGTAAAAGAACCGGAACTGGATGATGGAATGCTGTCAGGCCGTGAGGGGAGAAGGTGAGCACAGAGTGGGTAGAGTTGCATGTGGTAATCGAATCTCTTATAGCATGCTTGGGTGGGGAGGGGAGGGGAAAGGAATGGATTGAAGGGGACAATTCGAGGCTGGGATGGGTCACGCTTTTGGATGGTGGAGATCTGGGTTAGCTGAAGGGGGACGAGGGCTTGGATTTCAAAGTGCCTATACGACAAGGTTGTAATGAGTAATTTGGTGGGGGTAGCATGAGGAAAGATGGCTACGAGCAGATCAACTACATCCTCTAAAGGATACTATCACGAAGTTGCAGGAGACAAATGACAGTCTGAAGACAAATTCAGGGATCTTTTAAACCCTAATCTATACCACTGTTGAAATGCTGTCATTTTTGTTAGACGTTCATGCACTTTTGAGTAATCTCACAAGTGACTGTAACAATGTGAGGATGCTCTATTAGATGCGGTAACAATTTTAAGACAGTGTAGTACACCTATCGCACCAACGGGGAAATCTTTTATCCGTACAGGGTCCTCCTGCCTTTCCCCCAGCGGAGGTGCACTTCAGCGGATCCCTCCACATCCACCTCGTAGCCTCCGTCATTCTGATTCCTTGCATCCTGCCAACATTCGCGCTCCACCTTTCACTGATCCTTTGCCTTTTTTCACCATCGTTCGGGGGGTTTCTGATCAGGCAATCGCAGCGTTTTTGCATCGCCTAGCGTTTGGTTCCACGCTCATTGTCGTGTTGCCCAGCAACATCAACCCTACTAATTCAGCAACAAAGGCTCTCTGCACAGAAAGTAAAGTTTTGAAACCGAAACGGGTCCTGAGACGGTCAAATTTAGGGTCACTGAGGACTTCATGTCAGGAGGAGATTTGATACTTGTCAAATAGGCGAGCTGGCTAAGCTTAGGTAGAAGGCCGTCTCTCGTCAGGCCAGCTGGCGGCTCGCCGGCTGATGCGGCGATGACTGGGCAGCTGCCGTCGCCAGCCAATCGCACGCGCTTCAAGACACCAGAAGGGCGTTACCTGCTGTCGCACGAGAAGGTTCACCCGGCCGGGCTTATCCAGTACACCCATCAGCGCAATCCCACCAAGGTATTACGCGCTCGCCACGTGTCCCTTCCAGATCCCTCCATTTCAACGGTCAGGGACACAGTAATCTATCACGTGCCCCGACTATAGATTACAATGGCATTCCGCTCCCTCCCCCGTTACAGTCACGAAGCTCCATCGGCCGTGTCTCACGTGCCTCCCGCAACGATCCCTCAAAATCTGGATCCCACGATCGGCATCTGGCATTCCGTGCTGCTTCTCGCATTCCCTTTCCTCGCCCTTTCCCCATGCCCCTTTCAACCGCGCCCCTCCCCTCCCCCTTCCCGTCTACCCTTTTCCCCTTCCCCATCCTTCCCCTTCCCCCTCGTCCACCCCCTGCCCCTCCTCCCGGCCCCTTCCCCGCGCAGATCACATTAGCGCATCTCGAGGACCGCCCTCCGCCTCTTCCGCCTCCGTCGCCGTCACCTGTTGCCACGTCAGCAGGTTCCAGATTCGCCAAGAACTTCTTAGGGGCGGGGAGCGGCACGCGTGGACTGCCTTTCGGCGGCGGAAATGGCCGTCAGTCAGGTGAGTTTGGCCGTCGGTCAGGTGGGACTGGCCGTCAGTGAGATGGGAGTGGCCGTCAGTCAGGTGGGAGTGGCCGTCAGTCAGGTGGGAGTGGCCGTCAGTCAGGTGGGAGTGGCCGTCAGTTAGGTGGGATTGGCTGTCAGTCAGGTGGGAGTGGCCGTCAGTCAGATTGTTCACTTGCCCACCTTCTTGGCAGTCCCCCTCGTAAAGCATCTCCCTCACTTTCCTCTTTCCCCTTCCTCCTCTCACTCCCTGCCTCCGTGCATCCTGCATTCCCTCCTCATTTTCCCCTTCCTCCTTGCCCCACACTTCCCCGCTTTACCCGCCTTCCCACCATTCTCCCCCCATTCCCGTGCAGCAGCGGCGCCAGCAGCCAGTGGCGCGTCCGCGGGCACGGGGAGTGCAGGGGGGAGCAATGGGGGGGTGGGGGGAGCAGGCGGAGCGGGAGGGGCGGGGGAGAAGGAGAAGGCGGGGGGCGAGGGCGAGGGGTCGTACGTGATCTTTAACGTTGGCGAATCACTCTTTGTCGCGGACGCCAACAGCACGGACAAGGTGGGAAAAGGGGAAAGGTGAGAGGTGCAAGGGTTGAGCTGGGGCGCAAAAGGCGTGGGCGGGGCGTGAATGGGGGTGGGGCGCAAAAGGTGGGGCTGGGGCGCAAAAGGTGGGGCTGGGGAGAGCAAAGTGGAGGTGGTGGGAGCAAGATGGGGGTGAAAGGAGCAAGGTGGGAGTGGGGGGAGAAAGGTTTTCCATCTCGTCGACTCCTCCCTCCACTCACTCTCCCCTCAAACATTCATAGTCCCCTGTCTCCATTCTTCTTCCGCTCTCTCCCTTCACCCCCCCTTCCCCTCCCTCCCCCCTGCCAGGAGCCCCTGAAGGCGCTGCAGTTCATGGGGGCGAGCGGGCTGTGCCACGCGTTTGACGGTGCTGTGGCGAGCAGGGAGGCTCAGGGCACGGCGGGCAGAGACGCACACGACCTGCTCATCGCCACCACTGCCGGCGACAGTGAGTGCCCTCCTCTTTTCCACTCTCCTCCTCTCTGGGGGGCAGGGAAGCATAATGCACGGAGAGCAGGGAGGCTCAGGGCACGGCGGGCAGAGACGCCCACGACCTGCTCATCGCCACCACTGCCGGCGACAGTGAGTGCCCTCCTCTTTTCCACTCTCCTCCTCTCTGGGGGGCAGGGAAGCATAATGCACGGAGAGCAGGGAGGCACAGGGCACGGCGGGCAGAGACGCACACGACCTGCTCATCGCCACCACTGCCGGCGACAGTGAGTGCCCTCCTCTTTTCCACTCTCCTCCTCTCTGGGGGGCAGGGAAGCATAATGCACGGAGAGCAGGGAGGCACAGGGCACGGCGGGCAGAGACGCACACGACCTGCTCATCGCCACCACTGCCGGCGACAGTGAGTGCCCTCCTCTTTTCCACTCTCCTCCTCTCTGGGGGGCAGGGAAGCATAATGCACGGAGAGCAGGGAGGCTCAGGGCACGGCGGGCAGAGACGCACACGACCTGCTCATCGCCACCACTGCCGGCGACAGTGAGTTGCTTGCAGCCACCCCATGTTTGCTGTGAGTCGACTCAAATCACTCGAGGCAGAGAGCACAGCAGGTAGGGACGCACAGGGCAAGGCGGGCAGGGACTCTCATCACCTGCTCATTGCCACCACCACGGGCGACAGTGAGTGCCGCTACCCCATACTTGTTCTGTATCGACTCAAAGCACTCGTGGCATAGAGCACAGCGAGCAGTGACGCACAGGGCACGGCAGGCAGAGGCGCACATGTTGATGTTAAATATGAGAATTCTGAAAAGTAACATCAATATTGCTCATCACTACCACTGCGGGCGACAGTGAGTGCCGCTTCCTCCTCCTCCCTCTCTCCCCCCCCATTCTTCCCCTCCCACTCTCCCCATTCCACTCTCCCCCTCCCACTCTCCTCCTCTTCCATCCTCTCACCCCCCAGCCACCAACCCTCATCCTCTCAGTGACGACAACTCTCTTTCCCCCGCCCTTCCTGCCATCCTCTGCCCTCCCCATCTCCCCTCTCCCCCCCCATCCTGCCCCACGTACCTTCCAGTCTACACAGCATCACTGAGGGCGCAGCTAGCAGACGGCAGCAAGAAGCTGGTCGGTGCAGCACACTACAGTCCCCGGGATGGCACCGGCAGCAGCAGCGGCAGCGGGGGGAGCAGCAGTGGAGGGGGCAAGGAGGGCAGCAGCAGCAGCAACAGCCGCTGCACAGCGGTGGCATGGGTGCCGGGCGGCGATGGGCTGTTTGTCACCGCGCATGCCGATGGCAACGTATATGTCTTTGACAAGGTGGGCCGCGCCTGGCCTCCTCTCTGTGTGTAGTGAGGCCACTAGGCTAAACGCTGTATAGGCAACATTCCGGCCGAAACCTTCCTCCCAGAAGTCTTTGATCCCTCGCCCAACAACAATCCACCCTCGTTCCCAACCAACCCCCGATCTCCCAACCGCACCCAACCCTTCTCTGCCCCACAGCACCGTGACGGCACCACGGAGCCAGGCTTCCCCCCCATCAAGGACGTGCATGCGTTCTCCACCGCTCATGCGCGCTCCAACAAGGTGCATGCGCAACTCCATCCATCTTCCCTTCGCCCTTTGTGCTGGTTCTGAGTCGACTCGGATGTCCCCGAGGCTGCATGCATGCCTCCTTGCACCATCACCGTCGCGCTGAGAGGAGAGCAATCAGTCATCTGGCTAAGTCCTAGAGCAACCCGAGTGTCTGGCAGCACATTTCTCCACAAATGCAAGCTCCCTTGCACCATCACCATCACCATCACCATCACCATCACTATCACCATCACCATAACCATCACCATCACCATCACCATCACCATCACCATCACCATCACCATCACCATCAACATCACCCATAAGCCACCATCACCCTCATTCATGGCCCCCATCTCTCTCCCACCCCATGCCCATGACTGGCAGAGCAACCCATTAGCACGGTGGCACATATCCCCATCCGCCATCAATGCCCTCGCCTTCTCCCCTTCTTGCTCGCACGTGCTCCCCCCCATCCCCCCCATTCCCTCCCCCCCCAATGCCCCTCACCCACAGAGCAACCCATTAGCACGGTGGCACATATCCCCATCTGCCATCAACGCCCTCGCCTTCTCCCCTTCTTGCTCGCACGTGCTCCCCCCCATCCCCCCCATTCCCTCCCCCCCCAATGCCCCTCACCCACAGAGCAACCCATTAGCACGGTGGCACATATCCCCATCCGCCATCAACGCCCTCGCCTTCTCCCCTTCCGGCTCACACATGGCCACTGTCTCCCGTGATGGTCAGTGCTGGTGGGGGTGGGGTAAGGGGGGTGGTTGGTAGGGGGTTTGACTTAGAGCACAAGGCGTGTGTTTTAACCGCCCTAGAAGATAGACGTGTGCTTTCAACGCCCTCGCTTTTTCCTCTTCTGGCTCACACATGGCCAGGCCACTGTCTCCCGCGATGGTCAGTGCTGCGTGGGGGGGAGGAAGTAGAGGGGAGGGGGTTGTGCTTGGCCATCTTTTGCACACTTGTTGCTGCCTACTTGCTGCAGGTTATGTGTGGTCGACCAAGTTTGACTTTTAAAACGCCTCATATCATTCTCCGGCTGGTGCATGCTGCTTGCTGCTTGCTGCTTTCTGCATGCTGCATGCTGCTTGCTGCGTGCATGCGTCCTTCTTTCCATGCAACTTCCCTGCATGCAGGCTACTTGCAAGTGTTTGACTGGGAGCGAGAGGCATTGGAGTGCAGGAGCTATTACGGGGCGTTCCTGTGCTGCGCGTTTTGAGACTTCCCAATGCTGCTTCCATGCAACTTCCCTGTGCGCTTGCACATCCTCCATGCAGGCTACCTGCGAGTGTATGACTGGGAGCGAGAGGCCCTGGAGGGCGGGTGCAAGAGCTACTACGGGGCGTTCCTGTGCTGCGCGTTCAGCAGCGATGGGCGGCTGGTGGCAGCAGGCGGGGAGGACGATTTGGTGGCCGTGTGGGACCGCCACTCCCACTCCGTGCTGGCGTGGTGCGAGGGGCACTGCTCGTGGGTGAGTGGGTCTTGCTGTTTAGGCCGCCTCAGCGAGCTGGTTTGGTGATGCTCTGCAAGGGTGAGGCTGGCTCCAACCTCGCCCTTGCCTGCTTCTATCCCTCTGCGAGCTCTCTGCCCTCCCATCTTGCTCCTCTCTCCCTCTCCCCGTTCCCCCTCCCTCTCTCCCTGCAGGTCACAGCAGTGGCGTCCGACCCCTTCCTCTCCACCACGCCCCCCCACCCACCACCATCTCTCTGTCTCAACATAGCACTCTCTCCCTTCTTCCGCTCCGCTCTCTCCCTGCAGGTCACAGCAGTTGCGTTCGACCCCTTCCTCTCCACCACGCCCCCCCACCCACCACCATCTCTCTGTCTCAACATAGCACTCTCTCCCTTCTTCCGCTCTGCTCTCTCCCTGCAGGTCACAGCAGTGGCGTTCGACCCCTTCCTCCCCGCCAACCCCCCCCCGCCCTCCACCATCGCCTCCCCCCCCTCCACCACAGCTGCCGCCGCCGCCACTCCACCATCCTCCTCCCCCATCCCCACCAGCAGCGCCAGCACGGGCAGTGGTGCGGGTGGGGGTGTGGTAGTGGCGCCCGGTGGGGCCGAGGGGAGCTACAGACTGGGGTCCGTGGGGCAGGTGAGGGGAGATGCAGAGAGTGAGGGGAGTGAGGAAATTGTCATCAGTGCTGGCTGCTGTGCTGTCATGCACCAAACTACCCCGCGTCATGTGCACAGCCGCACACACTGGCACACAGCAGCACACACCAGCACACAGCAGCACACAGCAGCACACAGCAGCACACAGCAGCACACAGCAGCACACAGAAATGGCCGAGTTTCTAATCCTGTCGCGGTGCACTCATGATTGCTGTGTTGGCACGCTGTACCCTTTGCTCTGCACTCCTTCACCCCGCCCTCCTGCCCTCCTTCACCCCGCCCTCCTGCACTCACTCTCCCACCATCAACCCTATCAGGGCACGCAGCTGCTGCTGTGGGACGTGGCTCTGGGCACATGGTGCTCCCCTTGCGCCTGTCGCTGTGCCACTGTGACCTCTGTCTTCGCACTCCCTCACCCCTCCTCTTGCACTCACGCACCCACCCCACTCCCCTCCCCGCCCGCTGTCTCACCCGATCAGGACACGCAGCTGTTGCTGTGGGACATAGCTTTAGACGATGTGTTGCTCCCCTTGCGCCTCCATGCATCCCATCCGCACCACCAGTCAGCAGCTGCCACGTCAGCATCCCACCCTCATGACGTGGCATCGACCAGAACCCCGCCAACCGCCCACCCGCATTCTCGCTCGCACTTCTCCCACTTCCACTCTCACGCACCCGGCCATGCCTCTCCCAACCGAACACATGGCGCCACGTCAGCGTCACCATCCACATCAGCAGCAGGAGCTGCCACGTCAGCGTCATCATTAGGTCTGGGCAGATCCAGCGGTGCCCGGAGCTCCAGTGGGGCAGGGAGTGGTGCCGGTGGGGCCGGCAGCAGCAGCAGCAGCAGTGGGGGCGGGGTTGGCAGCGGTGGTGGCAGCAGCAACGGGGCTTTAAGAGATGCATCGGCATCGAATGCATCACATGCAAGCAATGCAGCAGCGGTGCTAGTGCCTCCTCCTTCCCGCAAGGACGTGCCGCGAATATCGCCAGTGATGGCGCATAAGGTATGCACTCCGCCAGTGATGGCGCATAAGGTATGCACTCCGCCAGTGATGGCGCATAAGGTATGCACTCCGCCAGTGATGGCGCATAAGGTATGCACTCCGCCAGTGATGGCGCATAAGATATGCACTCCGCCAGTGATGGCGCATAAGGTATGCACTCCGCCAGTGATGGCGCATAAGGTATGCACTCCGCCAGTGATGGCGCATAAGGTATGCACTCCGCCAGTGATGGCGCATAAGGTATGCACTCCGCCAGTGATGGCGCATAAGGTATGCACTCCGCCAGTGATGGCGCATAAGGTATGCACTCCGCCAGTGATGGCGCATAAGATATGCACTCCGCCAGTGATGGCGCATAAGGTATGCACTCCGCCAGTGATGGCGCATAAGGTATGCACTCCGCCAGTGATGGCGCATAAGGTATGCACTCCGCCAGTGATGGCGCATAAGGTATGCACTCCGCCAGTGATGGCGCATAAGGTATGCACTCCGCCAGTGATGGCGCATAAGGTATGCACTCCGCCAGTGATGGCGCATAAGGTATGCACTCCGCCAGTGATGGCGCATAAGGTATGCACTCTGCCAGTGATGGCGCATAAGGTATGCACTCCGCCAGTGATGGCGCATAAGGTATGCACTCCGCCAGTGATGGCGCATAAGGTATGCACTCCGCCAGTGATGGCGCATAAGGTATGCACTCCGCCAGTGATGGCGCATAAGGTATGCACTCCGCCAGTGATGGCGCATAAGGTATGCACTCCGCCAGTGATGGCGCATAAGGTATGCACTCCGCCAGTGATGGCGCATAAGGTATGCACTCCGCCAGTGATGGCGCATAAGGTATGCACTCCGCCAGTGATGGCGCATAAGGTATGCACTCCGCCAGTGATGGCGCATAAGGTATGCACTCCGCCAGTGATGCCATATTCTTGCCACACCAGATCAAGGGGATTGCATCCTTTCTCCCATCCATCCCGTCACACATGCATCCACCCCCCCAATCATCCCTTCTCCGTCCCTGCCCCCTGCGAACTTGTCTCCCCACCAGAGCCGGCCTTCTCACGAGACGCCGTGCTGACAGCGTGTCATGAGGATGCTCTGGTTGCGGCCCCCCAATCATCCCCCCCTTGCCCTCCTGCCCCGCCCCATTCCACCCCCCACCAGGTACACGTGGAGCCGCTGTCAGCGCCGGCCTTCTCACAGCAAGCCATGTTGACAGCATGTCACGTGGGCTGGGCTGTGTCAAACTGCTGTGTCCCTGTCCCCCCATCACCCATGCCACCCACCTCCAGGTGCACGTGGAGCCACTATCAGCACTCGCCTTCTCACAAGACGCCGTGCTGACCGCCTGTCACGAGGGCTGCGTTAAGCTCTGGCTGCGACCAGGCGCCACCCCCCCTCCCGGCAGCATTGCCACCACCTCCTCCCCTGCCCCTTCTGCTGCCGCTGCTGCGCCTGTTCCTGCTGCTGGTGTTGCTGCTGCTGCCACTGCAGCCGTGCCTGCAGCGTCCGCGTCGCCTCTCCGGGGGGACCCCCAGTCAGCCTCTCCCGCCCTCCATCTGTCCGACCGGGGGCCTGCCAGCAACCGCACGGGCACGGCAGAAGCTGCTGCTGCTGCTGGTGCTGGTGCTGGTGCTGGTGTTGGTGCGGGCAGCATGAGTGCTGCTGCTGCGTCGGCTGCAGTGGCAACGGTAGCAGCGGCGGCGGGTGCCAGAAGTGCTGTTTCCGGGCAACGAGTATTCAGATGAGCGCGTGCGTGCATGAGCACGTGCTGTGATTCGATGCGCCTTATGGGGACATGGCGAAAGGCGTGGCATGTCACACAAGAGCATGGCTCGAGGTGCCTCTAGGAGGGAATCTGCAAGGGCATGGTTTTGGCCCACAGGGACTCCCCTGAGTGGGCGGTGCATTGAAATAGTTTCATTAAGAGCACAAGCGTCTGTGGTTGTGGTGTTATGCTGATGTCATATGTGGCCAGTATTGCATGCAACTGTTGCCATGCTCTCACAGGTGGCAAGGGCATGGGATGATGTTGATTAATGATATTCACTTGCACACAGGGAGGTGGTTATACGGTATGACCAACAAGCATGTGAGGTGGGAAGACGGTCTAATGCAAGCATGTGTGCAGAGGAGCACCAGGTCATTCGAGAAATTAGTGCATGCAGTGCAATACAATGTGTCTGATGGGAAGCAGTGTGAGTGTGAGTCGCACTGCATCTGCATGCCTTAGTGCATGCCATGCTGTCATGGGGCCGGCATGTATGCCATGGTGTCATGGGGCCCGCGTGCATGCCATGGTGTCATGGGGCCCACATGCATGCCATGGTGTCATGGGGCCCGCATGCATGCCATGGTGTCATGGGGCCCGCATGCATGCCATGGTGTCATGGGGCCGGCATGCATGCCATGGTGTCATGGGGCCGGCATGCATGCCATGGTGCCCAACCATCCGTGCAACCGCATGGCAGCAGCGCGGCTACAGTTGTCGGGTGGCACTGCACCGTAGGGCATGTGTGTGACCGCATCACACCATCCCTCACCGCACGGGGCAGCGGCTGAGGCATGCATTGGGAGTGGTGTGGACCTGCTGGTGCTGCAACCCAGGCACTGCATGTGGGTGTGGGTCTGCTTCAACAAGTTTCAAAGCTGGACTACCGGTACCGTATCCCCACCCCAAGTGGAATAATTGTTGCATGGCAGGCAGTGGGCGCGCACGGCACCATGGTATAAGTCATTGGTTGAAACACAGTGAGCGACAGTGAAGAGTGGTGACAAGCATGGAAGACGGAAGACCTGTGAGATGTCCCACTACTGGGGCACAGCACATGGCGTATTATTAAACAAAGACCTTGGCAGCTTTACCTTGCTGCCGTATGTATCAGCAATGGCATACCCAGTTTTAAGCGTGGTTCCTACCTACCTAGCGCCTATGATATGACCTAGTACCTAGCACCTAGCACATAGCACGTATCATGTAGGGAGCACCTGGAGACAGGGCATGCTCCATCTGGTCACCTGCACGCTGCCTGCTAGCTGCAGGCACACGCTTTCCCATGCTGCCTGCCCGCAGATTGTACCCCTGCCAGCTGGCTCATTTGGATTGGATCGTGCCAGCTGGCTCTCTTAAACTCAGCACTGCCAGCTGGCCCATTTGGATTAGATCGTGCCAGCTGGCTCTCTTGGACTCAACACTGCCAGCTGGCTCACCCTGACGTGCACCCAAGCCAGCTCTGAATCAAGTGCGCTGCTACTGCAGCTGTGAGCCTATTGTTGACCCGCCACGGCAGAGAGCCGGGCGCCAGCAGGGCGCAGACGCACATCGCTGCCGTGTGTGTGTGGCGCCTTGAGCAGCGCGCCACCTCCTATAGCTGTTGCGGCCCCCACAGCCCCTGTAGGCGCTGCACCCTTGGCCGTGGGAGCAGCAGCGCCTCCGCCCTTGGTCGGGGGTGGTTTGCGCGAACATCTCCGGAGACATGGGCACGATGGCCATGGCCTTGTGCGGCTTCTTGCCGCCCTTGTGGCTCTTGGGGTGCAGCTTGGCGCGGCGCTGGCGGAACATGTGCGTGTAGAGGTGCAGCCAGAAGAGGGGATACGCCGCCAGGATGACCTGTAGGTGGGGGGAGGGCCAAGGGGGGATGGGGGAGAATGTGACTTGTTGTTGACTCCACCGATGGGGGTGGATGCCAGGGTGGTGTGCATGGGATGCAGGAGGAGGGGGAAGGGGAGGCGGCAGGGGCACTCACCATGAGGACGTGGCACTCACCATGAGGACGTGGCACTCACCATGAGGACGTGGCACTCACCATGAGGACGTGGCACTCACCATGAGGACGTGGCACTCACCATGAGGACGTGGCACCCACCATGAGGACGTGGCACCCACCATGAGGACGTGGCAATCACCATGAGGACGTGGCACTCACCATGAGGACGTGGCACTCACCATGAGGACGTGGCACTCACCATGAGGACGTGGCACTCACCATGAGGACGTGGCACTCACCATGAGGACGTGGTGGCAGTCGAAGGGCAGGGCTGCAAAGAGGAAGTCGAGGGGCCGCTCCGCCTTGACAAAGGGAATCGCGCTGTAGATGAGCACCACTGCGCGCATGGGGGGGAGGGGAAGGGGAAGGGGGGGTGAGATGGGAGGGGGGAGGGAGATGGGAACCACTGTGCGCGTGGGGGAGGGTGGGCGGGTGTATGGGGATGTGGAGGTTAGAGGGGGGTATATGGGAGTGGGGGTATGGGTGGGGGGACCAGCGCAGGCGCGAGTGGACCCATGTGCGCGGGAGAAAGGGAAGAGGATAGGGGGAACTCATCGCCCACTCCCTTCTTGTCTTCGTTACAGTAAGGCGCGGTACAGTCACGGAAGTGTTACTTTCGTTAATTTACTGTCGTCCGCGCCACTCACTCTCCGCGTCACCCAATCTTCCGCACGACTCACTTTCTCCATCTCACACTCCATGGGAACCACTGTGCGCGTGGGGGAGGGTGGGCGGGTGTATGGGGATGTGGAGGTTAGAGGGGGGTATATGGGAGTGGGGGTATGGGTGGGGGGACCAGCGCAGGCGCGAGTGGACCCATGTGCGCGGGAGAAAGGGAAGAGGATAGGGGGAACTCATCGCCCACTCCCTTCTTGTCTTCGTTACAGTAAGGCGCGGTACAGTCACGGAAGTGTTACTTTCGTTAATTTACTGTCGTCCGCGCCACTCACTCTCCGCGTCACCCAATCTTCCGCACGACTCACTTTCTCCATCTCACACTCCATGCGCCACTCACTCTCCCCGCTACACCCCCCCCCCCCCCCCCCCCCCCCCCCCCCCCCCCCCCCCACGACTCACTTTCTCCGCCGAACATGCCGATGGGGTAGAGCGGGATGAACGCCGAGTAGCGCAGCCACGTCAGCGCGCGCGGACACGTGCCCAGCAGCGAGAGCGCGTACTGCGGATAACGGATGACCTGTCATCCCCAGGGAGGGGGGCCGTGGGGGAGCAGCGAGGGAAGGGGCGGGGACAGATGGGAGCGGGTGACAGGTAGAGCATATGGGGAAGCAGGCGCAGCGGAGAACGAAAAGAGCCTCGCTTCTGTCAACTCCCATCAGCTGCTATTAAGCGTTTAGTCCGGCAATTCTTCATCTACATATTTCAAGATTTTGCTAAGAAGAGCCGGAAGCTGGTGCTTGTGTCTAACACCAGCTTCCTGCTCGCCTGTCTGACACCCGGACACGCGACACAAGCGGGGTGCGCGCCTGGGGATTGCAAACGCACGAGACGGATGCACGAGCGCGCGTGCGGAGCGGCGGGACGCGCCTCGGAGCGAAAGGCTCACCTCGGAGCGAAAGGCTCACCTCGGAGCGAAAGGCTCACCTCGGAGCGAAAGGCTCACCTCGGAGCAGCACCAGACGGCGAGGAGCACGAAGAGCGCGGCGTGCGTGTGGAGGGCGGGCGTGCGCCCCACGACCGCGAAGAGCACGAAGCTCCGCCCCACCCACTGCACCAGCGGCGCCACCACTCCGCTCCGCACCAGCCCTGCGCGGCGAGGGGACGAGGGGAATGGGACGACGAGGGGGAGTGAGGAAACGGAGTGGGCGCGAAGGGGAAGGCGTAGGGGCGGTAAGTGCGGGGAGAGAGAGAGAGAGCGCGGGCATTGTTGGAGAGAAAGAAGAGGTAATTGCGTGGAAAGGAAGAAAAGGGGGAACTGCGGGAAGAGAAGAGCGGAAAGTGGCAGTCAGACGAAGGCGATTCGTACCCGTGGCGGCATGCACGGCCTCGAGAATGGACGCGAACTGACACACGTCTGCAGGGACGGGTCGAAGGGAAGAAACAAATCTTGAGAACCGAGCAGGTTCCGGACGCAGATGGCACTAAGGAGCAAGATTCGATTGCATCAGCAGCAACTCGCTGCTTGCTACTCTTAGCATGCTGAAGACGGAGGAGGACAGAGAATTTCATCACTATCTCGTCGTGACAGCGAATGGGCGGCATCACGGTGACAAGGGGGGAAGGACAGCGAGGACACAGCGGGAGGGCGGGGGGAGGGGGGCGCGCGGGGCGTACAGACGAGGGGCCACGCAGAGTGGAAGGCGCCGGTGATGGAGGCGGTGGTGGCGGCGCTGTGCATCATGGCGGCCAGCGCCGCGGCCCTGATGTGGCGGCGGGCGGAAGAAGTGCGCGGGATGGCGCAGAAAAATGAAGTGGGCAAATGAAGGCGCAAAACGGGTGACCGCGGGGGACATGGTGCTAGTGCGCGATTCGGGGTGCATGCCGGTTTGGGAATGCATTGGGCGGGGAAGGACGCAGGTGATGGAGTTCCGCTGCGACTGGAGAGAAAACACTAAGGAAGCGGGAAATGGCAACGCTATTCGCGGCGATAGACGTACCATCCAGCGGCCTGCGCGAGATTGTAGGCGGCGAGATACGTTTTCGTCAACGACGCCATTTTCTTGAAGAAGGAAAAGCAAGTTTTGGTGGAGCCGTGTAGACTAGCTAATGTAAAAGGAATGTTAGTGTTTCTTGTCTCGTACGCATATATGACCTTGTAGCTCCGCGCTAGCTATTCGTACGTATCTTGAAGTTACTGCTTTACGCAACCTGGCTTCGTCCGTGTTGCTCCTACGTCTCAAGAAGATTAGCGCGTTTTGCGGTTCTTGCCGAAAATTTGAAGGAAATCGAGCAGTCGGTATGGAGGTGCACTCAAAGAAGGAACATTCACCCACTTGGCCCAATTCCCGAAATCCAAGTTGAGCAAGTCGGGTTGGTCGGAGGTGCCCCTTTCTACATTCTCCCTCGAACCCCAGCTTCACCGGCTTCGCCCAATTCCCGAATTTCTTGCCGTTGACGCGACGTTGCGACTACGGCACACCAAAACATCGCACATCGTCACCACCAGTAAACACCCTGGCACGCGACTTGAACGAATTCTCACGAAAGTCTTCGCTGAATGTTGACTGTGAATGTGAGTGGATTGCAAAAGAAACGGAACCGCCACGGGTCGCATGGTGTTGTGATGGGCGTCGCACGCACCAACAGCTTTGAGCGGAATGCGGGCGCCAAAGCATTTTCCAGCAGCCCGCGCAAACACATTACCAAAATCTGCGACGGGGGAACATTCCGTTTTTGTTGGCTGAGCCGCGGCGAAGACTTGGCCAAAAAAAAAAAAAAAAAAAAAAAAGGCTTGGCCAGCTAGGGTAACTCCTTCGTTGACAAAAGCACATGTTACTACAAAAAGGTGATGATAATTCCTATTTTTATAGTTACGAAAGTTGCTGCATGGGGCGAAATGACTAACGAGTTAGTGTTTAACGATTTAGTGCTTCACAATTACCCCTTCAGGTGCATGAGAATTCTCGACAGGCCCTGTTGGATAAACAAGATTGTTTCGAGACGCCTTACAAAGCCCAGGAGTTTTTCAAGGTTAGCTCTTCTTCTTAGCAGCCGTCATGCGAAATCGTACGGCACTCGACTCGCGGCAGCATGACCCGATCCAAGCAGCGGGAGAGGCAGTCGACAGAGGCAGCGCTGTCCGCGGGTGGCGATGGCGCAACCCCAATCCTCCTCTTCCGCATCGCCATTCCCGAGGTAAGAGAAGATATTGTGGGATCAGTAGGTGCGATTGATAGGCAGCGATTCGAAATTCTTGCACGACGCGACATGCTCAGCTCAGGCGTCATGGCCCTACCTTTCGATGTGCTCATCTCCGTCCGTCCGTCCGTGCTCGCCCCACCCTGCGCCACTCACTCCACGCATGACCCCTCGTCATTCCGAATCCTTCAACCCCCCTCACCGCGTCGCATCCCCGTCATGGCGTCGCAACCCCCTCTTCCCGCGCCTCACGCTGAGCCTCGCGGCGCCCAGCGCCAGAAGAAGTCGTGGCAGACCGCCTTGTGAGCATCAAGTGGGCGGCAGCGGCTGTCCTTTTCCTGTTCTTCGGCTGCCCGATCTTCCTCCCCGCACCTCCAACCGACTGCCAGTACCTCGCGCCCTTACTCTCCCCCTCCGCCTCTGCCTCCCCCCCCAGCGCCCCTCCGCCATCCTCCCCCCTGCACCACTGCGCCATGGGGTATGCCGCCACCGCAGGCGTCGTGGGGGGCGGAAGGCCAGGGGCAGCGCGGTACGTGGTGACAGTAGCGGATGATGCTATAGAGGGTGCGCCTGAGGGGAGTCTCAGGTGGGCAGTGGCGAACCTTGGCGGAGAACCCGGGGGAGGGCCCGGCGAGCGGCAGGGGCTGTACGTGACGTTCAACCGGTCGATGACGATTCGGCTCAAGTCGCGCCTGTTCCTGGCGTCGCACACCACAATTGACGGGCGGGGCGTGCGTGTGAGGCTGCTGGGCAACGGCTTGGTGCTGCAGAACGTGACCAACGTCATCATCCACAATATCGAACGTGAGAAACAAGCTGTGCTGCTGTCTAATCGTCTCCTTGCTGTCTCCCTCCCCACCACAAGTTTTTCCAGTGAAAGCCAAACACATTCACCTACCCAAGACATGTGAATTGCCTGTAATATACCAAGTTCGCTTTACACCGTGTGTTTCTCTCGCGCTCCTTGGTGGTCCTTTGCAGTTGGGAACCAGCCCGGGGATCATGACGTGCTCCCTATTCGCAGCAGCCAGGTGGTGTGGATCGATCACTGCCACGTCTACAACGGCCACCGCGGCACTGTAGACGTCGTATACAACTCCACGGACGTTACTATATCGAATTGCCGCATCCACAACCACCGCTTGACCATGCTTCTGGGGGCGGACGACGCGCATGAGTACGACCGCAACATGCGCGTTACGGTGTATCGCAACTGGTTTGAGAAATCCGGGCAGCGCCAGCCGCATTGCCGCAGGGGACAGTGCCACGTGGCAAACAATTTGTACACTGATTGGGCGTTCTACTGCCTTGGTGGGAGAGTCTTTGCTAAGATTCGGTCAGAGGCGAATGTTTTCCGGGCAGGGCGGGCACGGAAGGAGGTGACGCCGTGGTTTGGAGAAGCAAGTTTGACGACTCCTGGCTTTGACAATACGCCAACGATCCTTTCGTATGGCGATTTGCTTTTGAATGGAGCTACCTTTCACCAGTTTCAAGGGAAGGAGCCCATGTTTGATCCGCCTTATCGGCTTCCTCTTTATGATGCCTCGGATCTCATGGAGACCTTCCTGAGGCAGAGTGCGGGGCCTCAGTACCCATTCAGATTCATTAGATCTTATTTTGATTGGGATGCCTAAGCTGTAGTATAGCATTAGCGGTGTAGCTGCTAGCTGGGCAAAGCACACTGTAGATAATCCAGAATTCAAGAAGTGTCGATTCACAAATTCACTGGGCGAAGCAAGCCAAATCAGTCGCGTGTCGTGTGTCAACAACGAGCCACGTCCGTCGCAAATCGTCGTCTAGTCGTCGCAGGCAGGTGCCGCGGAAAGGAGAAGCAACCCTCCCCCCCACCTGCCTTGCATCCACCAGGGATCTTCTCTTCCGCCAACCTTCCCCGTTCCGCCTTCCTCTCTCCGCCAGTTCTCCATCTAAGCGGACTTGCTACGCAACTCCACCAACCTCGAGAACCATTTTGGATCGGGAGGAGCCCAACTGAACCGCACGAGGCAAACACAAGAACGTGCCGAATGCCCCTTTTTGTGGTACCCTAAAAATACTCGGACCCATACGTTGTCCTTTCTATTCCTAGATTCTACCATTTTCTTTACGTTTGTGCGTTCCACTCACTCTAACCCTAGGTTCTGTTATTCCGTGACTGCCGCTCGCGCTTCGAAGTGCTCGTTCCAGCATGGCCTCTCGCGGAGGAGCAACGCCGTCTAAGGGTTGCCTGCAGCGGCTACAGCGAGAAATGAAGTTGATTTCCAAGGTGCTGACGGCTTATGTCCAATTCTCTAGGTGCCTTGAAAACAGTGCTGACAGCCACCGAGCCGTCCTCTTCGCCACTGCCCAATAGTTCTAGTCGCTTTCTCTTTCATCGAGTTCACCTTAAATTTCTTATTCGGTGAGCGGTTGGTCTAAGGCGGACTATCCTTTTCCTCCCGCTCGTTGCGGTGCAACTCGCATCGCCTCTATTTCAGGAGCCGCCGCCGCACATCCGCGCGAAGCCAAACCCCGCCGACATGCTGGACTGGCGTGAGTGGCCGCACCGTGCATATGCGTTCGCACTGGCCGTTTCTTTCAGCTCTTTCCGCGCGCCCCTTTGCTCCCGCCGTCATCCCTGTCCTCCTGCTATTATCTTGCCGTCGTTCTTCCGCCGGCTTCTCACATTGTTCACTTCCACGTCAGCATTCACATATCTGACGTCACCACCTCCAATGCTTCACCACCTTTTCTTCTAAGCGTTTTCTTCTCTCGCCAATCACCACCCTCCACCCACCCCCTTCCCCCCACCCTTCCCCCCACCCTTCTCCCCCGTCTCCCCTCCCCCTTCCCCGTCCTCTCCGCGCGCCAGACTTCGTGCTGGAGGGCAGCCCCGGCACGCCGTACGAGGGCGGGTGGTACCACGGACGGCTCAGATTCCCCGCGGACTACCCCTTTAAACCGCCGAGCATCATGATGCTTACCCCTAACGGACGATTCGCCACCAGCACTCGCATATGCATGAGCATGAGCGATTGTGAGTAGGCGGGCGGCTGTGAGTGAGCACGCGAATATGAGCCGGTGGGCGACTGTGAGCCGGTGGGCGACTGTGAGTGGGCGGGCGACTGTGGTCGAGCGGGTGACTGTGGGTGGACGGGCGACTGAACAATGCTCCTTAGATCAATTAAACTCAACGTTTTAGGCTTTTGCAAGGCTTCTCGGCCGTTATGTGACCTGTCGGTTCGCCTTTCATGGTTCATACCCCCCTGGCTGCTCGTGTTGCCTGCTGTGTGTGCCGTGGTGGCGGTGTGCAGTCCACCCCGAGACGTGGAACCCCATGTGGTCCGTCGCCAGGTACCGCTCTCTTCAACCCTCACGCGCTTGCTCTCCCCCCCACTCGCGCTTCCCACGCTGTTACGGCAATGCGCGTTGCGATTGCTCTGTGCTCTCGCTTCAAGCTCCAGAATATGTCTGCCTGCATTTCCCCCCCTGCCATCCCTCGCCTGCGTTCGTTTCTTTTCCTATCACAAACCCCTGTTGTTTCCATCACAAACCCCTGTTGTTTCCATCACAAACCCCTGTTGTTTCCATCACAAACCCCTGTTGTTTCCATCACAAACCCCTGTTGTTTCCATCACAAACCGCTGTTGTTTCCATCACAAACCGCTGTTGTTTCCATCACAAACCGCTGTTGTTTCCATCACAAACCGCTGTTGTTTCCATCACAAACCGCTGTTGTTTCCATCACAAACCGCTGTTGTTTCCATCAGAAACCGCTGTTGTTTCCATCAGAAACCGCTGTTGTTTCCATCAGAAACCGCTGTTGTTTCCATCAGAAACCGCTGTTGTTTCCATCAGAAACCGCTGTTGTTTCCATCACAAACCGCTGTTGTTTCCATCACAAACCGCTGTTGTTTCCATCACAAACCGCTGTTGTTTCCATCACAAACCGCTGTTGTTTCCATCACAAACCGCTGTTGTTTCCATCACAAACCGCTGTTGTTTCCATCACAAACCGCTGTTGTTTCCATCACAAACCGCTGTTGTTTCCATCAGAAACCGCTGTTGTTTCCATCAGAAACCGCTGTTGTTTCCATCACAAACCGCTGTTGTTTCCATCAGAAACCGCTGTTGTTTCCATCAGAAACCGCTGTTGTTTGCATCAGAAACCGCTGTTGTTTCCATCAGAAACCGCTGTTGTTTCCATCACAAACCGCTGTTGTTTCCATCAGAAACCGCTGTTGTTTCCATCACAAACCGCTGTTGTTTCCATCAGAAACCGCTGTTGTTTCCATCAGAAACCGCTGTTGTTTCCATCACAAACCGCTGTTGTTTCCATCACAAACCGCTGTTGTTTCCATCACAAACCGCTGTTGTTTCCATCAGAAACCGCTGTTGTTTCCATCAGAAACCGCTGTTGTTTCCATCAGAAACCGCTGTTGTTTCCATCAGAAACCGCTGTTGTTTCCATCAGAAACCGCTGTTGTTTCCATCAGAAACCGCTGTTGTTTCCATCAGAAACCGCTGTTGTTTCCATCAGAAACCGCTGTTGTTTCCATCAGAAACCGCTGTTGTTTCCATCACAAACCGCTGTTGTTTCCATCACAAACCGCTGTTGTTTCCATCACAAACCGCTGTTGTTTCCATCACAAACCGCTGTTGTTTCCATCACAAACCGCTGTTGTTTCCATCAGAAACCGCTGTTGTTTCCATCAGAAACCGCTGTTGTTTCCATCAGAAACCGCTGTTGTTTCCATCAGAAACCGCTGTTGTTTCCATCAAAAACCGCTGTTGTTTCCATCAGAAACCGCTGTTGTTTCCATCACAAACCGCTGTTGTTTCCATCAGAAACCGCTGTTGTTTCCATCAGAAACCGCTGTTGTTTCCATCACAAACCGCTGTTGTTTCCATCACAAACCGCTGTTGTTTCCATCACAAACCGCTGTTGTTTCCATCACAAACCGCTGTTGTTTCCATCACAAACCGCTGTTGTTTCCATCACAAACCGCTGTTGTTTCCATCACAAACCGCTGTTGTTTCCATCACAAACCGCTGTTGTTTCCGTCACAAACCGCTGTTGTTTCCGTCACAAACCGCTGTTGTTTCCGTCACAAACCGCTGTTGTTTCCGTCACAAACCGCTGTTGTTTCCGTCACAAACCGCTGTTGTTTCCATCAGAAACCGCTGTTGTTTCCATCAGAAACCGCTGTTGTTTCCATCACAAACCGCTGTTGTTTCCATCACAAACCGCTGTTGTTTCCATCACAAACCGCTGTTGTTTCCATCACAAACCGCTGTTGTTTCCATCACAAACCGCTGTTGTTTCCATCAGAAACCGCTGTTGTTTCCATCACAAGCCGCTGTTGTTTCCATCACAAACCGCTGTTGTTTCCATCACAAGCCGCTGTTGTTTCCATCACAAGCCGCTGTTGTTTCCATCACAAGCCGCTGTTGTTTCCATCACAAGCCGCTGTTGTTTCCATCACAAACCGCTGTTGTTTCCATCACAAACCGCTGTTGTTTCCATCAGAAACCGCTGTTGTTTCCATCAGAAACCGCTGTTGTTTCCATCAGAAACCGCTGTTGTTTCCATCAGAAACCGCTGTTGTTTCCATCAGAAACCGCTGTTGTTTCCATCACAAACCGCTGTTGTTTCCATCACAAACCGCTGTTGTTTCCATCACAAACCGCTGTTGTTTCCATCACAAACCGCTGTTGTTTCCATCAGAAACCGCTGTTGTTTCCATCAGAAACCGCTGTTGTTTCCATCAGAAACCGCTGTTGTTTCCATCAGAAACCGCTGTTGTTTCCATCAGAAACCGCTGTTGTTTCCATCAGAAACCGCTGTTGTTTCCATCAGAAACCGCTGTTGTTTCCATCAGAAACCGCTGTTGTTTCCATCAGAAACCGCTGTTGTTTCCATCAGAAACCGCTGTTGTTTCCATCAGAAACCGCTGTTGTTTCCGTCAGAAACCGCTGTTGTTTCCGTCAGAAACCGCTGTTGTTTCCGTCAGAAACCGCTGTTGTTTCCGTCAGAAACCGCTGTTGTTTCCATCAGAAACCGCTGTTGTTTCCATCACAAACCGCTGTTGTTTCCATCACAAACCGCTGTTGTTTCCATCACAAACCGCTGTTGTTTCCATCACAAGCCGCTGTTGTTTCCGTCACAAGCCGCTGTTGTTTCCGTCACAAGCCGCTGTTGTTTCCGTCACAAGCCGCTGTTGTTTCCGTCACAAGCCGCTGTTGTTTCCGTCACAAGCCGCTGTTGTTTCCGTCACAAGCCGCTGTTGTTTCCGTCACAAGTCGCTGTTGTTTCCGTCACAAGCCGCTGTTGTTTCCGTCACAAGCCGCTGTTGTTTCCGTCACAAGCCGCTGTTGTTTCCGTCACAAGCCGCTGTTGTTTCCGTCACAAGCCGCTGTTGTTTCCGTCACAAGCCGCTGTTGTTTCCGTCACAAGCCGCTGTTGTTTCCGTCACAAGCCGCTGTTGTTTCCGTCACAAGCCGCTGTTGTTTCCGTCACAAGCCGCTGTTGTTTCCGTCACAAGCCGCTGTTGTTTCCATCACAAGCCGCTGTTGTTTCCATCACAAGCCGCTGTTGTTTCCATCACAAGCCGCTGTTGTTTCCATCACAAGCCGCTGTTGTTTCCATCACAAGCCGCTGTTGTTTCCATCACAAACCGCTGTTGTTTCCATCACAAACCGCTGTTGTTTCCATCACAAACCGCTGTTGTTTCCATCACAAACCGCTGTTGTTTCCATCACAAACCGCTGTTGTTTCCATCACAAACCGCTGTTGTTTCCATCACAAGCCGCTGTTGTTTCCATCACAAGGCGCTGTTGTTTCCATCACAAGGCGCTGTTGTTTCCATCACAAGGCGCTGTTGTTTCCATCACAAGGCGCTGTTGTTTCCATCACAAACCGCTGTTGTTTCCATCACAAACCGCTGTTGTTTCCATCACAAACCGCTGTTGTTTCCATCACAAACCGCTGTTGTTTCCATCACAAACCGCTGTTGTTTCCATCACAAACCGCTGTTGTTTCCATCACAAACCGCTGTTGTTTCCATCACAAACCGCTGTTGTTTCCATCACAAGCCGCTGTTGTTTCCATCACAAGCCGCTGTTGTTTCCATCACAAGCCGCTGTTGTTTCCATCACAAGCCGCTGTTGTTTCCATCACAAGCCGCTGTTGTTTCCATCACAAGCCGCTGTTGTTTCCATCACAAGCCGCTGTTGTTTCCATCACAAGCCGCTGTTGTTTCCATCACAAGCCGCTGTTGTTTCCATCACAAGCCGCTGTTGTTTCCATCACAAGCCGCTGTTGTTTCCATCACAAGCCGCTGTTGTTTCCATCACAAGCCGCTGTTGTTTCCATCACAAGCCGCTGTTGTTTCCATCACAAGCCGCTGTTGTTTCCATCACAAGCCGCTGTTGTTTCCATCACAAGCCGCTGTTGTTTCCATCACAAGCCGCTGTTGTTTCCATCACAAGCCGCTGTTGTTTCCATCACAAGCCGCTGTTGTTTCCATCACAAGCCGCTGTTGTTTCCATCACAAGCCGCTGTTGTTTCCATCACAAGCCGCTGTTGTTTCCATCACAAACCGCTGTTGTTTCCATCACAAACCGCTGTTGTTTCCATCACAAACCGTCTGTTGTTTCCATCACAAACCGCTGTTGTTTCCATCAGAAACCGCTGTTGTTTCCATCACAAACCGCTGTTGTTTCCATCAGAAACCGCTGTTGTTTCCATCAGAAACCGCTGTTGTTTCCATCAGAAACCGCTGTTGTTTCCATCACAAACCGCTGTTGTTTCCATCACAAACCGCTGTTGTTTCCATCACAAACCGCTGTTGTTTCCATCACAAACCGCTGTTGTTTCCATCACAAACCGCTGTTGTTTCCATCACAAACCGCTGTTGTTTCCATCACAAACCGCTGTTGTTTCCATCACAAACCGCTGTTGTTTCCATCACAAACCGCTGTTGTTTCCATCACAAACCGCTGTTGTTTCCATCACAAACCGCTGTTGTTTCCATCACAAACCGCTGTTGTTTCCATCACAAACCGCTGTTGTTTCCATCACAAACCGCTGTTGTTTCCATCACAAACCGCTGTTGTTTCCATCACAAACCGCTGTTGTTTCCATCACAAACCGCTGTTGTTTCCATCACAAACCGCTGTTGTTTCCATCACAAACCGCTGTTGTTTCCATCACAAACCGCTGTTGTTTCCATCACAAACCGCTGTTGTTTCCATCACAAACCGCTGTTGTTTCCATCACAAACCGCTGTTGTTTCCATCACAAACCGCTGTTGTTTCCATCACAAACCGCTGTTGTTTCCATCACAAACCGC